AAGGGTTGGGACGACGTTGGTCCAATGTCGGAAAGACGTCGGCATACGGTGGAAAAGAGGTTGGCATAACGTTGGTTCAATGTCGGGAGGACATCGGCACAAATGGTCGGATAGGGGTCGGCATAACGTTGGCCCGATGTTGGCTTAATGTCATTTTGTCACTGTCGGGCCAACGTTGGCCCGCCGGCAAGAAAGCCGTGGGCCCAACATCATGTTGGCGACGTTGGACCAACGTAACAGCTTACGTTGGCCCCACGTTGGCGTAACGTCGTATTGTTATCTGGGATACCACTCACTTTTGTACCAATCATGACTATTTTATCAGGGGTACTGATTCTCATTGGAGGAGGAGGCATTGGTGCAGGGAGGAACACTGGCTGTTGTACTTCAAACATCCTGCATATTAACTTTTAACAATTGGAAGAAAAAAGAGCGTGTTCTACCATCAAATTACACACACAGTAATACCAAAATTGATGAAATGTATCAAAAGCTAGACAAACCTTTGTGTTGATTGTTGACATATTGCCCCACAGCCATTGGGTTCAAAGGGCAAGAGGTCAGCCATGAAAGGTCACTAAACATGTAGGGCCCAAGCCTGTCTCTCCGAGCACATGATCTGGGAATAGAATTTTATTTGAAGTTTAGTTTGTTAGTTTGTTTAGGAAGAATAATCATGTATGTACATGTATTAGCATAGTCTCTCATAGTTCTCAGACATGCTAATAAGTTCATGAAGTGTACCGGTGCATAAGCTTAGTTTTAAAATCATTGTTTAGTTATGTAATTTTAGTAGTATTTTGTTTCCCTGAGCTACATGAAAACCTATGTGTACAAAAAAGGCCAAGACACCAACCTGTGATTTCTCCCCCCTCACTCCCCTTCACTACGATCAGAAACATCTTTACAAGATTTTTAAAAATCATATGTATTTGGGTGACAAACATGCATGAGGCAATATATAAAGTAGTTATCAAAAGGAGAGCCTGGGATATTGTTGTCGAGTGGTACTTGTCTCTGTGAAAAGTTTTTTTTTTTTTTTAAGGGAGCTGGGGGGGGGGGGGACTTTTTTTTTTACTATCTAACTGTTGGGAGTGTGTATGATAAATGTATTGTCTCCAACTATTCAAAATCATCAAACATGGACCAGGCAATATACTGGGTTAATCTTGATGTACACTCCCCTCTTTCTTTTTTTTCTTTCTCTCTCTCTCTCTCTCTCTCTCTCTCTCTCTCTCTTTCCCCTTTTACCAATATTTTTTCCACCATATTCATATTATTATGTATCCATTGAGGGTAGTCATGCTATCAAGCTTTGCTTACTTTGTCAACCCTCCTGTTTGATGTTTTCGATTAGTTACTTTATTCAACATTTTCTTTTCTGAAATGTGTAAAATTTGCAATGTTTGTTTGTTATATATTTGTAAAAATGCAAAAGAAAAAGAAAATCAAACAGAAATAAATAAATCAAATCAAATCAAATCAACCATACGCACCTGTAGATCATCTTGGACAGTCTCTTGTCATTGCCATCAATGTGAATACCGTCAAGGCATCGGAAGACAAAAGGATTGGCGATGGACTGAAGGAGAATAGGCTCACCTGGGTAATAGATGGTACCTGGAAAGTATTCAAATGAAATTATGAATATTCAGTGGTCGTCACTCTAAACTAAAGAACTCACTGACACAGGTATAATTAAAAATCTGATATGTCACAGAGATACATTTCTACCTCTAGAAAATTGGATTGAATATTCCACAATTAAAATGATACTGGTATATAGAAAGAGTATATCTTTAATTGGATAAATGTTACGGGTAGGCATAGATAATAAATGGAAGTGGTTCTATCAATATCATCCCCTCAAATATTTTTCATTTTGTATAACCTTTGAGATTGCTTAGTAAGAAGCCCAGTATCTAAGTAGCATGAGAGTCATTTTGTGCAATGTTCCCAAGAACCATATTTCATATAAATGATGATCACTTGCTGTTTGACGTGTAAACAGGGCAAATCATACAATGTGGTCAATAAATGAGTAAAGGCGCAATGTATGAAAAATTATGACTGCATTTTGTCATTGTTTATAATCTTTATCATTCAAAAACGTCTCTCCAAGGATTGGTATTTACAAAAGTCCAAACTCCAAACTTACACCCCTCCAGCGGTGTACAATTTTCATTTTGAAAGAAACAATTACCTGGATACATTGCTACAACTACTCCTTTTGGAACCACTCCTTTTGTGACAAAGACACCAACACCTCCGCCCTCAATCTGACTTGGGCGACGCCCAATGGCATATCCAAGAGTCTGGTGCATTATGGTCGCCCCAGGGTCTAAATCTTCACCCATTTGTCCGTCCAATGTGTTTTCCTTGTTCTGTTCAAAATTGGTACTTATACTTAGTTGATGGCTGAACTGAGCAGATTGTGCATTAGTTTTCTGTTTCAGTAACTTCTTGGTGCTCTGATAACTATGGTGGCATAAAGAATGATGATGATGATGATGATGATGATGATGATGATGGTGAGGAGGAGAAGGAGGAGGAAGATGAGGAGAAAATGAGGAAGGTTGAGCAGAATGACAGTGGTGCTGGTGGCCACAACCGTCATTCACTATGCTGTTGCTTGTCCGTGCACTTCCATCCACCTGATTTCTCAGTAATAATGCATTCATTGCCAAAATTTCTCTGCAATCTCCTTCCATATAGGCAGCTTCAAACATTGTGCCAATGTTCCAATATTGTAACAGTCTTTTTGCTAAGTGTTGTTGATGCTTGTCCAGGTAGTCATTAAGATTGCAAAGTTCTCCACTTTCTCTACAAGTCAATCTTGATGTTCTTTTCTCCTCACAGAACAGCTTAAAGATGTTTTGAAAGAGTGACCTCACAGCTGAACTTTGTTTATCATGGGATTCAGGAGTCGCAGTGTCATCATGGTGATAGCATCTAATGCTCCCATTTTCATCTTGGAGATCTGATCTTCTGCCTACTACGCTGACCTTTGACCTTTCCAGTCTACTGCTCTTTGTCTCTAATTCATGCATTTTGTTGCCTCTTCCCTCTTGATTGGGGAGGTTGTCATCCAAAGCAGAGAATAATTTCTTGTAGGTTTCCTCCACCAGATGGTCTTCAATAATCCTGTCTTGGCTTGCATCGTCAACTGATCGCACTGTCCTGGAAAGGAGATTAACAAAGATTATCTACAAGGAAAATTAAAGCCCCACTGTACTCCTTGTAGCTACTTGCTCCCTCTAGAAAACAATGCCTAATCGGTGCATGTTGGTCCCCCATGATCCTCTTTTCCTTATGTTAATTGAGAGCTGAGTTGATGAGATAAACACCTGTCAGTGACCATGCTGGATGGTCTAATCCCTCCTGGCCAAAGTAATACAGACAGGCTTTAAAATATGCAATGGTAGGGATAACTTACTGAAGATTGAGAAGGCATGATGATCAGTAACTGATCTTCACAGCAAACCCATTTATGGTAAAGATCTCATGCAATGTAAGGCTTCATAGATCATTAAAAACACAGAACAAATACAATTTAGGGTTAATTTTAAGGACAATCTGTTAGGTTCCAAACCGCATTCTACACAGACACTATTCGACTGCACGGCACTCCTTACAATCTGCTGTCCTCAATTGCACCTCTTTGGAACTTTTCAAGCAGAAGGTGCAACACATTAAGCTCTGTTGAGCTTCAGACTGTTTTTAGCTGCACATAAAATTCTTATAGAGCCTTTTTACTTGCACACTCGGCACTTGACAAGCAGAGCCTTTGTACTTGCACACTCGGCACTTGACAAGCACAAGGTACAAAAAAGCCCCCCTCCCTAACTCCAGGAAGCTCCAACGCTGACATTCGGCGTCGGAGCTTCCTGGAGTTACCCCCGCCCTTCTCTCTCCTTCTCCGGCTAACACACTGTCTCTCTCTCTCTCCCTTCCTCTCTCTTTATTTATCTCACTCTCTCTGAGACCCAAAGACTTGAGATCTTACACTTATGACTTAGATCTTCAGTTGTTTCTATCATTACAAAAATACAAGCGCATTGATTATTGTTGAAAATCATGTTCAACTCTTGTAAGGTGCATTATTTATACATAGACCTCTATCCACCAAATATCATTATAATATGTATTTGCTCTTATTTTTGCCTTTAATTTTTCATTTGCTGGCTTTACTTGGCTCGGAGGAAAAAAATAAGAAAAAAATAATCTTCGTTCATGCAAACATGGCACAGATCTTTATAGACTCTATACGGGACTTTACTCACATTCCTGTACAAATAGTTTTCACACTAGAGTCTATGCGTTTCTACATGAGAAATAATCTGTACACATACCTCTTTCTTAGATTCAGTGCAACCCAAGGCACAAACCTGTATCGATAACTCTGCCACTTTGATGAAATTTTCTTCACAATATTCGACATATTCTACAGACCCTTTTCCCGTTTTTACCAAGTACTCAAGTGAAAAAGGTAGCAGACGATATTCTGTAAGTAGTCTCTGTACCAGCAGTTTTCAGAACCCATTTAAGACAATGTCATACCTCAAATGAATATTTTTTCAATTTAAAGGTACATATCAAGTCCCTAAGGCTTTTTAATATTCGATTTCCGGTTAAAAAAGAAGAAACATCCTCCACTGGAAAAAAATAAACCACTGAGTTCTCATTTCATTGACATTTCATAATTAGAAACTTACTAAATACGTCGCTGAAAACATCCCCTTACCAATTTGACAAATTACTAGATTAACGCTTAGAAATCATATAATGACTACTTTTAACTTTTTTATAATTAGTTTATAATATAATCATTATAATTAACACGATATAAGGGTTTTGAAAAATATTTAAAATCTTTCATTCTTTAATATTAAGACGAAACATTATTGTTAGACATTAAAACGGCTATGCGATTAATGCTCGAGCACGACGTTAGTAATTCTTGTCTACTACTTTCTCTGGCCTCAACGCAAAGTCACGTTTGTGTATAATGATGGCTGCGCAAGACGAACTGGGTAAGTTAATCGACAATAAAATATCAATAAATGTATAATTCCTATCTGGTCTAATAAAATTAGATAGGACAGCGGAGATTAATTTCGATAACGATGTATCTTTCCATCTAAACCGAATATTAGATTTGGGGTTTGGAGAAAATAATGAGATGAGTGAGTGAGTGAGAATTCGCGTTTGCGACAAACCGAAATGAATGGGTGTCGCATGCATTGAGGGAGGGCCCTGGCCCTGTCGTGATCGTGCGGTGAAATGAGCTGATTCACGGTGCACGGCACATTGTTGACAGTTGCTGTGTTTATCATGCCTTTGGATTGTGTAATGAAATAGGTGGAAAGCTATGTAACCATTGATTCATTGTGCTCTGTATCATCATGATCATGAGCCTGAGGTCAAATGATTGAGAGTTTACACTTTATGGACAAGCTGTGGCTGTCATCAAGAAGAGGAAATTCATTAAAAGTTGAATTATTATCAAGAGGAAACATCTGACTTTATCTTTATCTGAGTTTGATCATGTTGATGTCTGATTCTGAGAATAAGTTGGAACAAAAATGAAAACAAAAATCAAGGCAGCTGAAAAATAAATAACAGTCTCATTTGAAAAATGTAAGAATTGAGTCATATTCAGCAGTAGGGGGGCTGGTCTGAAAAAATAAAGATCGTCCGCATAAACGATATCTTCGTAAACGAGGACAAATCACGTCCCTCAAAATAAGGATAGTCTGTCTTTTTATCTTTGGCGCTCTGCGGATGTAGGGTTAATGATTCGTAGGGTTAATGATTCGCACGCTTGCAATTAAAATGCAAAAAAACAGATTCCACCTAATACCCCCAGTTTATACCATCAACCAGTTTTACGAGTTGGTTGATTTTTAGGACGCAATTTTTCCGCTTTTACAAAGATACCCTCGTATAAATTTTATTTATTAAAATTAATTGCAGTACACTTTTGCATCAGCAGCTTACCAGGAATATAATGACAGTTTAGAACACTCACAGCACTCGGGATGTGCCCTTCATGTTTTCTAAATGATTGTAATTGCAAAAATCATTTCTTCCTTTACTACTTTTCAGAATTACTCGACAGAGTATTCCTGCGGATTGGTTCAGCTGAGAGCGATGACCAGCTTGAGAATGTTGTCTGCCGTTTCCTCCCCCCTGTGCTTCTTAAGCTCTCCAGTAGTCAAGAAGGAGTCAGGAAGAAGGTAATAGCAAAAAAATTATTGCATCTGGGATAACTAAGCTCTTTGGCCAACTTGGACTCCACAGATAAATCAAATTATCAAAGCAAAGTTGGCCAAAAGAGCTTGAATTTATCTTTGATACAAAAGACCACATCTAATCAATTAACAATAATCTTTTGTGTATTAGAGATTTAGCTATTTGGGGTAGGCGTCCATCAAATGATTAAATTTAGACTACTGTGCATCCCTCCCATAGTTCAAAAGTCCCCATTTTGGGGACGACAATTTTGATTTGCCAGCACTGTTTGGAGGTTCAATTACTGTTTTGGAACTAGTTGGTAGTTGTAACTTCCTTGTACATGAGGATTTTTTTTAAAGAACCGTTATTAGAAGAAGAAAAATTCTAGAAGTATTTTTAATGTTTTAACAAAATTGTTTTACCACAGCTCTTTAAACTTTTTAGAATTTTTTAAAAAGCTTTTTTAGAGCTTCCCAAAGCTACTTTGCTGCCTGCTTGAAACATTTTGCCACTACTAAAACATGTGGTTATTTTTGTTGTGTGTTAAACGAGCAAGCTTTTATTGTTCTTCTTGTTGATTTTCTGCTTTTTCTCTTTTTTTGATTTAGGTCCTGGAACTGCTGGTTCATGTCAATAAACGGCTGAAGAGTAGACCCCAGGTTCAAATCCCCGTGGAATCTTTACTGTTACAATACCAGGACCCATCTAGTATTACGTTTGTCACCGTAAGTACTAGAATGATTTTGAGAATTGATCGCAGTCCACTGGATGCGTGGATGTATTTTGGGTAGACATGTATGCTACTTTTAGAACTGTTTGAAACTCTTTATACATGTAGCTACTGAACTGAGACCATAGCTACCAATAGAGACTATCACCATCACAAATATTTTAGTCATTTCCGTGATGCATGCATTGTGAAATTGAATCCCACTGTCAGTTATGGTGGACTCAGTCTTGATTTGTATTGTATGTGTGATATCCCAGTTCCAAAACTACTGAGCTACATCTTGTGGTACTTTGTAAGAGACACTTTATTTCTCCTAATCTGTTCATAAGAATCATTTCCCTGACAATGAACTTTCAATGGTGTGAGATCTTTAGTTATTAATGTATGTAAGAATTACAATATCTTGTACCTGAAAATTGACTTTTCTAGGTCTACAACTCATTGTTAATATATTTCACCATAAACCTTGATGAATAATAATAATCTGGATTTATATAGTGAAATACCATCTCTAAGCACTTAACATTATATTATTACCCCCGTCGCCAGATTCGTTTACGCACAATGTGTACCGTCTCCACTCCCTGGGGAGTATTCCTACCATATGGTCACCGTAAGGTCATATTGCAATTTCTATCCCAAAGGCTTTCATCATCCTACCAGGTTCCCATTTCTCTCCTGGGTGAGGAGTGGTAAATGTAGATTAATGCCTTTTCAAAAAACTTGAATGACATGCTCTCCTTCTTTTCTGGTCCTTCAGAATTTCACCATCTTGTACCTGAAAATGGGCTTCCCTAGACTTCAAATCCATTGTAAATATATTTTCATTGATATTCATCTTTTTTCCTGTCGGCAGAATTTCACGATCTTGTACCTAAAGATGGGTTTCCCGAGGCTTGAGATCGATAAGCAGGCTGAGCTGGCTCACTCACTCATCAAGTGTTTAGAAGGGAAACCCCCTCTACAGCAAGATAGGTACGTCATGCTAGCAATACCCTCGAAAAAAATGTGTATACCGTACTTGATTTAACTTTAAATTTTCCTTCAAGTATTTTTAAGGATAGGCTAGGTTTTGTTAAAAGTAATCTAACAAAAATATATAAGTGTAAACATGTAAATATGTAATTGTATTATGGCTTACTGTTTCCTATTCTTTACCCGACTTTTTCTACAACATTTTATAGTAGTTGCTATGTAATTTTGTTTTATTTGGATTTATCATGTTTCCACAGTTGTCACATGATAATCAAATCTTTTACTGAAGGCTTTTCATTTAAAAAAAAAAATATTGATGGTTTTGTAATTCCATATTTTTATTGATTAAATTTTAGTGCTAAGAAATATTATTTTGTCCTTTCATATTGCTTCTTTCACAGCCTCATGGTAAACTGCATCAGTAAATATAAAAATAATTTTACATGTACGTATATAAAGTGGGTGGGGGGCGGGGGAACTGAACACTACAAAGACCGATATGCACTTGCATAGATGTCATTTAATTTTGCAGAGGCAGTTCATTATAGAATGTTCAATGTTGTGTGAACATTGTGGCATTGCGTGAATTATGTCCCAACTCTTGAAACTTTATATCAACATATCCTTTAAATATCTCTCTGTCTTTTGCCCTTCAGTATCCTTCAGATGTTAGTCCCTACCCTGCCTCATCTCAAGCTTCCAGACGACCACACCAAGAGGAGAGCCATCTTTGGTCTGAGTGAGAAAGTGGAAACCATACATCTTCTCACCACCTTTCTCATGGATTATCTTCTCTTACCCTACACCTTTAGGTGAGAATTCTTACTCTTTTTTGTGACAATAGTAGAAGTAATATAGTTGATGATGATGATGATTGTGATATTACATACCGGCATGCTGATTCATGATGATGTATTAAACATAACAACCACAAAAGTTGTTTGTCTGAGTGAGGAAGTGGAAACTATTCACCTTCTCACTATATCTTTTTCACGCATTACAAATATGATGTAAATCGGTATTCATTTTTTGTCATCCGCAAAATACCCCTCGTTTAAGGGAAACAACTGTACGTAAGTTACTTTGGTTCATACACAACATTGTTTGATATAATACAGGGCTTGATATTGACATGTCTATTGCACAAGGACCTTAAACGATTGTATTAGAGACTCAATCGAAAAAGGGTTAGATGGTAGACCTGTGTTAAAGATTCTAGTTTGAAGTATATTGTGGGCTCTTTGAGTATGGGGTATATTTCAACTGTGCCCCCCCCCCCAACACCCAACCCAGGTGTAGTCCATGAATACTTGGTTAGAACAATTCCCTTGAATGCCTTGAGCACTAGATACTGCATAGACTACAGCTACCCGGGTTCGAAAGCAAGGCAATGCGCTATATAGTGCCCTTTGGTTTGGTAAGGCATTAATCCTCATTACCAGGTCTCTTGGAGAGGACCTAAAGCCGTCAGTCCTCTGGTTGCTTACTAACAAGCATTTATGCTTTCTTAGCAGTCAGGTAAAATAACCACCACTACTATAAAAAATAACGATGCAAATACATTAAATCCCTGACCTGTTAAAGGTAAAGACCAGTTTTGGAAACATCCCCCTCTCAAAAAATAAAATGGAAGCTATTATTACCATTCATGTGAAAGAATATGTTTTGACTAATACGTGATGATACAAATTTTGCAGAGAAACCGCCAACTAATTGATATATTGGGTTAAATATTATATCTATTTGGACCTGATAGATATCACGCACGTGTCGCGTAGTCCCATATACATCTTTCTGTGTACAGTGCTTCTATCTTTAACAAGACTGGCCCATATTTCTTATCATTTTAATGATTCCAGAACCTTGCTGTACACACCAATACTTATATGCTAGATGATCAACCTTTTCTGATCGATTCCACAACGTTTCTTTCACAATGTAATCGCATGACCAGAACTGGTCTTTATCTTTAATGTGTTATGATTGATATCATCTTTGTACTCCATCCACCCTATCAGTGAAGAGAGACCCAACACAGCACCAGCTGGAGGTCAGACTGGTGCAGCCAGCTCTAGTACAACCAGACCTAGCTCCGCCTCGCAGCAGCCCACCTACCAGACCCCGCCCGGTCTCAGTCCAAATGCTCTCAAGAGGTTGATAGGGGAACATGGACTACCTGATGCAAATACCATTGAGGAGGTAACAAGTCAAATTGTTTGTCTGATTGCTTTAAAATAAATTGTGTTTCCATGTTCTTGATCAGCTGTCATAGTTGAATTCTGAAGAATTGAATTTTAGTAGTAGAAGTATTAGAAGTAGACTTAATGGCCCAAATTTACAAAGGAGGTTTAAATTTAACCCATGGTTTAAACCCTCATTTACATAACCCATGGTCTAAAATTAGCACAAAATAAGCGCAACACAAGTCAGAGGTCCAATATAAGACTCGCGCAAGGCAAGGTACGCCTCATTTTGCGCTTATTTCAAACCATGGGTTATGTAAATGAAGGTTTAAACCGTGGGTTAAATTTAAACCTCCTTTGTGAATTCGGGCCATTTGGTATAACCTGTGTAGTACAAGGCTACTCTGTTGTTTTGTTTTATTGATAAATTGGGCAGGATATATCTTCCTTAGGAATAAACTACACAATGGACCTGTATTGGGTTCTGCATCAAAGACGAATAAAAGCCTTATTTTAACCACATTATGGAAAGTGTTTATTTACAAATACAAAAGAAAGCTGCTCTTTTTTCTGATGTTCAGTTAGTTATTATTAGCTTACAACAAATTTTCTTTAGTTATATTTTTCATCTGGGTAGCCCAGCTTGTGTGTTCATTTAGCTTCATTTGTCAGTATATCAACAGGGTTCGTTCTAATAATGTTATTTTATATTTTTTAAACCGGTAGATCTATGCACATATGTAGGTAATAAATAAACTGTGTGAAGAGAAAAGTAAATTAAAGATCAGTAATCCGAAGTATTACCAAATATGATCCAGAAAAAACATAGACAAATATCTGTAAATCTAAATATAAGACTCTTTCAATAGTTCTAAAGATATGCTTCTGGGAAAATATATTTTCTTTTTAACACCGAAATATCCAAAGTACATTCTTTAAGATATCTTTTCATTTTGCCTTTATTTGATACAGTGTAAAGTCGGTATTGTGCGTTTCCTGAGTGCCGACGTGCTGAGCGAAACAGACGTGGTTTGTCATCTCATCGTTGCAAGCTCTGATACCAGATATACGTGAGTTCCGCCCCTCTTTCACCCATGAGGCGTCCAAAAAATGCCCCCAAACACGGCTCAGACTCGTTTTAAATAACTACCTCACCTCTTGTCCCCATTCATTTACACAGCCGTAACCATATACCTGCCAAAAAAGAGTTTAGAGGGTAGCTTTTAATACAGTTTCAGGATATTTTAGTGTTGTGATGATGTCGAGTTGTGCTCTTTTAGCCCTCTGCGGGCAGAGAGTAGGAAGTACTTAACAATTATTGCGAATCCTGAATGGCTTGAAATCACTATGAAAATAGCCTTTAGTTCCTCACCTAAAGTTAAGTTGCTCAAGTTTCTCAAAGAAAAAAAAAACTGTTCACATCATTGACTCATTGACAAAGACTAAGATTGAGTTGGACTTGAACTATGGCAGGCGATTTATGCCCTTACAAAGTCTTGAACCTGATGTTAAATAAGAGGGGAAAAAACCTTAGAAATTATGATCTTTAGATAACGTTTTTTTCTTCAATAATAAAGTATCAAAAATGTGGATTCTGTAGGTTTGAGACGTCCCTTGAGAGACCAATGGTTAGAGCAACCAATGGCATGAATAGCCGGCCATAGTTTAAGCCCAACTTAAGTCGATCTTAGTCTTTGTGAAATATCCCCCTTTGCATATCAAATATATTGCACTGCCTAATCTTTCAGTATTCCATTTTATGTAGCTAAATCCATGTGGGCTTTGAATTGACATGAATATGTACACATAATAAATGAAATTGGAACTGTCTCTAAATGGTTAGTTCTTGTTTCCTTTGTTTCAATTTTCTTTACGATGACCAGTGTGGCAACTGCAGCAGATGTCTTTCTGAAGAAAATTCATAGGTGAGTAAATTCAAGATATTTCATTTGTCGTCATTTTGAAAAATAAATACAGATAATGAGGAGAAAAAATATTAGAGTGGTATTGTGAAAAAAGGAAGAAACTAACAAAACAATAAAAGAGTAGCCAACTGCCCTTGAAAATCACTGGCTCATTATATCTTTGATAGTATATCAGGGGCGAAAATGCCCCCCCCCCCCCTCCCCCACCCTTTGAGAAAACTGGAATAAAAGGAGGGATTGAATTTGTAAAATAGCAAACTGATATTAGTTAAATTATAAGTAATTTAACTATACAGTTTTACAAATTCGTCTTTGATATGTGGGCTTATTTTCATGTAAGTGTCCAAATGAATCATTTTCTTACTTGTGCATTACAGGATTGGATTGGAAAGATCATGACATAAAACCATTTTTCAAACAAATGTTTCCCTAAATTAAATGGAGAAACAAGAATATTTGTCCTTGTTTTCCTGTACATTTGTCTAGCTAGATTAATTTAAAAACGTGAAAATGCATATCTGTGTTAAACGGGTTGTATGAGATTTAATAATAATAATAATAACAATCTTTTAAAGTCCACTCCAAATTTTATTAAGTTAAACGAAAAGAAAGAGCCAGAGTGCTAAGAAGATATTATTGTGAAGTTATGAGAGAGCTATACTTTGTTTCATGTAAATTTCCTTCATGTGTATTTTCCTCTTTCTCTGATCGCAGTGTCGTTGACTGGAATGACATGACTGTTGTGAGAAGACTCTACACCCTCTTCCAAGGCAGTGTAGCGGTTAAAGGACAGGTAAAGAAAAGGGGGTTTTCCCTCAAATAAATGGGGGATTTCCCCTCAGTCATGGGACTTTCAATGAATGTTTCAACAATCAAGAGTGAACCTTCATGCTTTCTGGCAGCATAAGGGCCAGGAGGTTGGGGGAGATGTTCCCAAGATGATTTAAAACGTGTGAAAATGAATTAGCTTCTTGTGTGTGGTGTGGGAGAAACACAACAGATGTGAAGTTAACATGAACTGTAAAAGTTGTGTTAAAAGTTGTGTAGAATTGTGTAAAAGAGATGGGAGGAGAAGGGGGAGGGGCAGGGGGGAAGGTCTCAGGTTGGATTGTCAGGTGCAGATTTAATTAACTGGATATTGAAGATAATATGATCGTTCTTAGACACAGTGACTTATATTTGTAGTACGGTTTATAATTGTTATGATCTTAGCTAAATGTTAAATTGTACCACTAGTTTGATCTTGTTCATGACCTTGAATGTCACGTAGGTTTGTATTCAATGTGAATTACAGTCTCTATTCTCGGCATATAAACTCATGTGAAAAGACATACAGACTTGATTAAAGGATGATAAAGCAAGGGAACTTGATTAATTAAAATATTCTCTTGTGATTTGTTTCAGCCCACACCAAAGCAAGAGGACAAGCGATCTCCGGTCGGCACAAGAACTCGACTAAAACTCTTCCCATACCTTCTAAGATCAAGACTAGCCGCGGATCAGTTTCCAGCATGTGTTCAGGTATAAGTGATGGATAATGCAGATGCACAGATAATTGTCAACATTACCCATGAAATTTTTGAAGAATTCCTTGAAGCTTGCTAATATTAGTTTTTAACATTACTGCAAAGATATTTGTGTTAACATACAAATGTGTGTAAGATTTAAGTTAATAATTTTGTTTTTTACAGACATAGCTGGGATTTCCATTAGGTTAAGACCCAAGATTTATCTGAAGTGTAGAATATAACTAGGTGCTCTTTTGTATTGTTTGCAAACGTCCTACTCTCATAGCACAGCAGCATCATAATTTTATGTGTAAACACATAGAGATTTCCATTTGTTATTTTTGAAGAAGGCATACCGGTAAAGCTTTGGCAGAGTAAAATATTATCATAGTCTTTTACAAATATTTTATTTGAGAGAAGATGTTCACTTTGCATTTGTTTTTTCCCTTGGATAACTTGCAACAATTTAGATTAGCTTTGGATCATAGACGAGTTATTTTATCATCAGGGACTCATTTCACAAAGCCTTTTTTCAATGACAAATGACAAAAATCAGTGACAAATCTGCAGATAACCAATCAGAAGCAAGGATTTGAGTAGCTTATAACAAAAACTATCATTTGTCACTAATGACAAGTTTTGTCAAACACCCCCCAGATGGCAGTTTCTTGTTGGCTCAATGAAAACCCATTTTGTTTTCCTTGCATCTCTAATCCAGGTCATCTTTGACTGCCTATACGGCGCAAACTCCAACAACAAGCTCAAGTCTATGGCCGTACAGTTTGTGCACCATCTCTGTGCGGCCTGCAGCGATGCCCGCATGCAACCCATGGGACCTATCCTCCTCTCAGGCATGGTCAAACTTATCGCTGAAGCCAAAGATGTAAGCTCATTTAGATTAATTTTATCTTTAAATTAATCTTTTTACGAGTCAGACATTTATTGACATTTTGGTAGATTAGTCTTACATATGTATAATGTGGGGGTTGGACATTGAACAAATATAAAGCCTTCTCTTTTGCCTTTTGATTTAACCAAAAAATTATCCACCATATAGCACTAACCATTGAAAATATTTGTCCTTTATAATATTGCCTAACATAAGTCTTCAAAGATTCATGAAATGTTGCCTGTAAACTTCTTCATTTTATGGGTTAACATCAACTATCCAGATAGCCAACATTTCAGAATTTCATGTGCCAGATTTGTGGATGATAGAATTGATTTTACCTATCAATGTTTATTCTTTCAGAATGTGAAACTAAGGAGCCTTGCTTATGTTGCTGTAGGAAGATTATCCAAGTGAGTATGATGTCTCGTCATTAGCAGTTATGTTTTTTTGTTTTTTTTTGGAGGGGGGAGGAAAATAGGCCAAATAAATTCATATTGCTCTGCCCTATTTTGCTTGAACATTGACATCCCCTCTGTTTCATTAGTAACCTGTTACAGACTGTCTCATATTTTTCCATACTTATTTTTGAGTCAGGGACTTGGTACTTAACAGGTTGATACCAGTATTTTTATATGCTCATGAAAATGTTTTTGTATTTGATGTACTTTTTAAAAAGAAAAGATAGAAAGAAGATGTATGTTAGGCTGTAAACTCTCATTTTCTCTCTCTATCTCTTTACTTAAAAATTTGCCAAGGAATGATTGAAAACTGGTGGAATGTAATCCATGCCTTCTATGATCTGAGGGATACTTAAATGTCCTAAGATAGATGATAAGTATTGCAAATGAGCTGCAAATAGAATTTCACATTTTTTTGGTCTCATTCTTTTGCCATTCAATTTATTGCCCTTTATTTCTTCATGATTACTTACCCAGGAGACTACCACAGCTATTCACCAAAGATATGGGTCTTCTACAACAATTCTTTGATGCTGTCTGCAAGGTAAATCTGTCCCCTCATACTTAAAGCTAATATTGAGCTCTGGTACAAGCATCGTATGTCGAGAGAACATGGCTCTAATTCATTTTGGATTTCTTATCCTGCAGTAGATTGATTGTTTGAACCAGTCAAATAAAATAAGCTCACAAAAACTTGCTGGTTATCATCTTCAATAAAACCCACAACTCACATTTGCACATGGTGACCTTCGTTAAGCACATGGTGTCGCGCCTACTTACCTTGATTTCCTTACCATTATATGCTCATTACTCAGCCCCTATACATTTTCTACCAAAATCGTTAGGCACAAGTCATTTATTTGTAATCTTGAACATTCAGTGTAAGTTTTGCTGGATTCTGTGAGAATTTATTTTCTATCATCACCAGAACTCAAGCTTATCTTTAAACTATCATGTTTCCAATGTCAAATTCTCTTGAAATATTGTATAGTTGTGAACAATTTAGTCAATCAGTGAAAAAGTTGTGAATCATTCTAACGTCTTGTTTTCCTTCATACGGATAAGACTTTCACATCTTTTTGTTGTTAGATATACAGTGCAAGGAGTTTCTTTCTTGAAAATTCATCCAGACGTCCATATTTCCATTTTTTTTAATGTATAATCACATTATTATCTTAGTTTGTAATTGTGATTTTGGCCCTTTTTCTTACTAGGAAGAGGACGACACCCGATTGCATGTCCAGGAGGCGTTGACTCTGATGGCTGTAGCCTATAAAGGGATCCAGGAACCCCTTATACAGATCATGGAAGTCCTTATCATGGCTAACATTGAAAAGGTATAGTCCTTATAATAATACTAAATTACATTAATAAAGCGCTTAATACAATGTTTCTAAAGGCTTAACATACAAGAAAGGTACAACGTAAAATAAACATAGAGCAATAATAATACATAATTCTAATAATAACATTACAGATAATTGAAACTGCCCTATAAATTACTATTAATCAAAAAATACTTCAAACTTGCCTTAAAAGACTCTACAGATGGGGATTGACAAATAATAATTGGTAAACTGTTCCATAATTATCTGTTCTCTTAGGTAGCGTTTGGTCTACATTATGAATGCGATGCTGACAGAGCTAACATGTGAAAAGTGAAATTACTGTGGTGAAACCTTCTTTTGCAACCAACTGTATAGAAAGACCACCTATCTGTTAAAGACCAGATTTTCTCTTTTTACCTTGAATAGTGTTTATTCATTGAATTGTGTACTTGGAACCTGTACATTAAGACTACCTGCCTATAAAGACCGCTCTTTTGGTCTCTCTTGAGTGGTCTCTATTTACAGGTTTAGCATTTTGTATAGTGCTCATATCAGTGATGCGGTGTCACCTATTGCCTTTAAATATCAACCTGGCTTCAGCTTTGCTACCAGAGTATAAAACAAACACAAGAACTATAAAGGAAATCCATTCAAAAAGGTACCCAGTTATTCACCCAGGTCAAGATAAACAGCTGCGAATGAAATGCATTGTCTATTGAAGCTGATAAAAAGTACAGTGTAAGAATCGTCATACTACAGTACCCTCACGTTATATAGACTCTAAAAGGGAATGTGAATCATCATTGAGCGAAGGAGAAAAGTAATGAACTTGTAGATATTTGGAGTAGAGATGATATTGGACATTGTGGGGTTAATATCAAGTTGAAATGGTTCAAAGTTGTCTTCAAGGAGGATGAGAGCAACCATGTTAAAGAGTTTAAAAAAATTGCAAATAATCAGTCAGAGGATTAGAAGTTGTTGTTTTATGTATTGCATCTGTTATCCTCTTTTCTCAATCCCTCCCTTCCATCATTCCTGTCCACAGTCTGAGTCTCAAGCCAGGAAGACTGCGGTCCACTACGCAGCGACAGTGTTTCCCAGCCATCATGTAGCATCCAGATATGCCTTACTCTTAGCTACAGGAGACAGGTAAGCTAAACCTTGTCTGAGGTTGTTCTCTTTTATGGTAATATTGGAGCGCTTTGAGCACCTTGCAGGGTGGATATGTGCGCTATATAAATATCCAATATTATTATTATTATTATTACGAGACTGGTTGATGATCTGGGCAGATACTTTATTCAGTATTTATGAGTAAAGTAGTTAAAAATACGAGTTTTTCTAATTAGATAAATTAATTAGCCAGCTTTGGTATTCAGTTGAAGCTTTTGGCTAAGTTTAAGACGGCTCACAAGCAGACTAAAGTAAAGCCGTTTATTTTGGAAGCCTTGATTGGCAGGCATATATGGTTTTAATACTCAGTCATCATATTAAGCTGCGTCCAATCATGTTACTATTTTTTGATCGACAATTTGACCTCACAATATTGAACCTTAAAGGTACTTAGTAACATTGTGATAGTTGATTTCACAAATCTGTTGAATCAGGATGCAAAACACGTAAAATTATGTTTGTATGTATGGATTATCCAACTATGATGCCCCAAATCCGAAATTAATTCACGCAATATGAAGATTTTTAACAAAGTTCAACGGGTTTTCGAACGGGCGTCGATGTGCGGCGCTTCTGAATCTAAATTCTCCCAACCATTTTTTGAATTTTCCCAACCGTTGTTCCATGAATTTTAAATGTCTGGAATGGAAATATGTAGAGCCATTTTATTGCTTTGTGAGATTTCCATTCACCTAAAATGTAATTAAATTGTAATAATATAGTCGGGAGAATTAAGGAATCGATCGGATCAGTTTTTCCCAATTTGTACCATGAATAATGGTCCGTTTTCGCTCAAATTTTTAGATTATCTTTAATTGTACATCTAGCATTGAAGTCACTGCCTTAGCACCACTATCTCTCATCTGAACAATGTTACAAAGTCCCTTTAAAGTCGGCTTACTAAAGTAAAATGCTCTGGTGTGATCTGAATACATATTATGACATTTTACTCAGCCAAGTAAAATGTTAAGTAAAATACCGACTTAATCCACATACTCAATAGAAAAGCCCCTGATTCAAACTGGGCAGTGTTAAGAAAATCTTCAATTACTTTGGGCATCAGTGAGCTTTTATTTTTTCTTCATTGCTCATTATAATTGAATGATATTTTGGATTTGAAGGATTTCTGATCACGCTTTCTAGTAAAGATGTAATGCATCGCTGCTATTAATTAGCAATAATTGCATTGTAAACGCAAAACAATGCCTAAACGGTACCCGTTAGTCCCCCATGATCCCCTTTTTTTTTGTTAATTGAGAGCTGATTTGATGAGATAACCACCTGTTAGTGACCATGCAGGGAGGTTTAAACCCTCCTGGCCAAACTAGTGCAGACAGGCTATAAGATTAGCTTCAATCTTTTAAACCACAATACTTGTGCTGTTTTGATGTTGACAGCAAAGAGGATATTCACCAAGAGGCTGTGCGATCCCTGAAGCTTAGGAGACAGTATGACGACTATGAGAGGGTAGAAGGTGAAGCTTCGGACGTCAGACCGGTACCGACCTTTGCAGAGATGGTGCCTTTCATCAGCGAGAAGGTACGAGAATGACCCTTCAACCCTGAGCCTTTGGTCAGCAGGGAGCAATTGTTGTCAGGCTCCCAATTTTACTAAGGACCCCTGTCCTACAAAAACCCTAAAAAATAGAAGATGGCAAGAAATTTGTGCTAACATTATATTATTTTTTTTAAAGTATTAATCAAAGAAAAGTTTAGCCATGAGAAGGAAATAATTGAAACCTTGTTGTCATGCTCTTGGATAGGGGGATTTTTCTCATTTATATATGTGTTTAAAGAAGAAACAAAAACAACAGGCAAATCTTATTGGTGAGAAAAAAAGTTTCTTTTGCACAATAAGTATTTTACCCCTTTGCTTGAGAAAGTAACAGTTTACTTATAGTGAAAAAAAGTGTTTATGTTTACATATTCTGTTAGATGAAGCTGTTAAATGAATAGGCAAATCTGCTTCTTCTTTTTTTTTACTTACCATAATTGTGATTCACAATTTGGCACAAGAGTTTGTTGTCCTCTTATGAAGTTTATCTCTTGTTTGTTCTTTTCTTCTTTCAGGCTTCACAGAGAGTCAAGAGCTCCTCAAGATATGTGACTGGGACCACACATCTAGCCTTCAGACCAGAGACCTTTAGACACGTAAGGGCAATCAAAGTTAACCCACTGACTACCAATTGTAGACCCCCTTTTATTGTAGTCAATTTACATGCTTTATATTCTTTGTGTTCATGGTCAGAGAGTTTGCATGATATTTAGATGGTCAAAGAATGTTTTTGAGTTACATGAATATGGAAAAATTTGAGTTGCACTACTGGGAATATAATGCAAGAAATTGGAAACCAGACAATGTAGATAACAAGTTTTAATTTTCTAGCACAAATATCACGGCAGCTATGCAAGCAAGTTTTGTTCCTCTTATTTCTGCTTATATTGTTTTATTTTGGTTCCCTGTTCATTCTTTGTTAGTTTTGCAGTACTAATCATCTCATTGTTAAACATTCACAATGCTATTAAAATATAATAATTCATTCACGTCTTTCAGTTTATAGTATAGTATTAATGACTGCTTTGTGAGAAATAGTTGTTTTTATACGCTCAAGGGAAGGTTAGAATTGTGCTATTGCCCGAGGCGTGCCGAGGGCAATAGCCATTAATACTTTTATATGCCAAAAAAATTATGACACCACCTTGGCCTTTCTCTAGTTTATCTGCACGGTTGTTTTTTATGAGTGTTTCTTTGAGAGTAGACTAGATCTAGATTCTGGTCTAAGCAAGATATTTTTACAATTTTAGGGGTGGGCCTGCGCTTTCATATGTACCTCACTTATTGAGTATCACCTTCAGGATCACGAGCAATATTAGTTTGAATCCTCTGGTAATTAAAACATCGACCAATCTAGCATGATCGAGTGCGCAATGGCCAATGGAAATGCATAGGGATGTGTGTAATCTCTACGGGAAGGATCTGCATCTGTCCGTGACGTACAAATCACTACAATCACCAGCATCTGGTTGTCGCGTAGACTCTACTAGAATCTAGATCTAGGCCTACTGAAAACAAATTATGGAAGATTTCACGTACCCTTTTCGGTGTTCTTGCTGTCAGCATGTCTCGCATTTGATCCTCATCCAGAAGTTGAAATCTTGACAGAGTTTCTACAGCCATTTTTGCCTTGTTTGAATCAAGATATATTGCCGTACTAAAAATGCCGACCAATTCTTTGCACACGTACGGTATCTGCGATCGCTCAAACCATTTTTTAACATGTAAACCTATGGGTAACCATGGTTACTGGGATTTTAGAACTATTTTCCCTGTAACCATGGTAACTTGGATTTTAGAACTATTTTTTGAACTATTACATGGGTTTGGAATTTTACCGGGAATTTTACAGGAATAGTTAAAGTTTATGAATGCAATTCCGACCAATCAGATGGCTGGATTTCTTAAGTGAGGTATAATCTTATTTATTCAACCTCTCTGAGCATTAGTCATGCTGATAGGCTCATTCACTGTGTCAGAAACAAATTGAATTTAAGCCACACTGTCCTACTTGTAGCTACATTGTACTTGCTCCCTCTATATAGAAAACTTCCCCAATCGGTGCCTGTTGGTCCCCCATGATCCTCTTTTTCTTATGTTAGTTGAGAGCTGAGTTAATGAGATAGCCACCTGTCAGTGACCTCGCTGTGTGGTCTAATCCCTTCTGGCCCAGTAGTATTGACGGTCTTTAATGAAAAAATCATTACAGGTCATCTTCTACCTGCGCTCCTGCTTGCTCCACGACGCGGGCACCGACCTTCCCCCAGAGGTGCGAGAGCCTCTCCCCCTCGAGAACAAAGCACCCATGGTCAGTCGCTACCTCCAGCAAACCCTCTCCAACCCCACCCTGCAGGCACCCAGGGGCAAGGGGAACTCCTCAGGCATGGAACGGAACCCCGCCCTCTCATACATGGCTCTGATTGGTCAGCTGCTGAATGGGGCAGGGACTCCAGATGTGATGTACTGCCTGCTGGAGCTGGTCGCCATGGCACCTAACAAACTGGCGGGGCATTATATCAACAAGCTAGATTGGATCAAGGTACGTCAAAGTTGTCTCTGCTCTTGTATGTTTTTGTTTATGTCTATTTTTTCCCGAGATGTTAAGAACATTTGCTTGTATATCATAGCTATATGACCTATGGCTTTAACCCTATTTAGCCCGGGCTATTTTGAAACTGCATAGCCCGGGGGGGGCTTCTCAGGCCCCCCCCCTATGATCTCGGCCGTGAAACACCCGATCGCCGCGAAAATTTGCATACATGTCAAGTGAAGTGTATAGAATACTATGGTAATTTCAATTTTTTGAAAAATTCACTCATTTGCATATTTATGGTAATTTATGCAAATAAGGTCATAAAATTCACATTTTTGCCCATAAATCAGATATTATTCATATTTAAGCATTCTTTCTCACTGCATATATTTGTTAGACCATTTGGAATAATAATACAACACAAACAATTGAAAAACCAGGGTTATTCCTTATGTTATCTATTGTTTTGATAATTTCTTATGTATTTCTTTGTTTTTTTTACTTATGTATTTTATTGTTTTTGTTGTTTTATTTCATTTCCACCTATAATTCAACTATTTTGACCCCAAAATAAACACCTTAAACTATCAACAAGACCAAATAACCAATGTTTTATCTCTTTATTTGAAAAATGAGATTTCCATATGTTTTGTACACAAATCACAAAAATGAGCGATTTTCGGGCTGACATGCGAAGACAAAAGGACACGTGACTTTGTAATGGTAGGTCCGATTTTCGAAAAATTTCTTTCAAAAGATGCGCAAGACTCGAAAGAAAAAAGTCACAAAATTTCAGTGCAAAATTTTCTTGCGTTAAAAAATTATCGCGAAAAATGTCGAGGGGGGGGCTTCTCAAGCCCCCCCCGGGCTAAATAGGGTTAAACCATTCACCAAGACATAATAATGTTTCTTGTGACACACGTCTCTATTGGCTACTGTCACATGTAATGTTGTTGTCGTATTTTCAGGAGTTAATCCTTTCTTTGTCTCTAATTGTTCTTCATGCATGTTTCGTAAATATGTGAAAACATGAGACCAGTCATTAATTGTGGTTTCATTTTCATTGTTTATCTTAGTACAAACATTGTTGAATTGGATGGACCATCTTTAGTCATTAACCCTTTCTGAATTTCAAGAATAACAGAATATCTTCTTTTTCATCCAAATATGTTGTGTGCGAGATAGACTTTTTAGTAGGGTTTGTTGCCTTAGCAGTGAATACACACTAACTGTCAAATTTAAAGATGACTGAGGGTCATTGTCTTCATCCAACAGAGGATGCTTTTTAAATAGTAACTTTTTTGCTGTGTCCCATTAAATTAATATTTGCCAGTGTTGTAATAACATGTATTTTGAATACTAGGACATACATTATTTTTTAATAGAAGTTTAATTACAGCATTCATAATAACAGAGTTCTTAATTGTTCATTGTTTTTTTATAGAACTTTGTGTTTGGTCTATCTGAGCCTATGAGAGAATGGGCTGCTCAGCTGTATGCTGTAGTGGCATGTACGACCAACGTAGACAAACTCAATGCCATTCTACAAAGTCTTATCAAGACTACAAAAGATCAGGTGAGCTTCTGATTTTATCTAATTCTATAGATTTCTCTCTCTTTTTCTCTTTTGCTAACATTCCCCTTGTTTTCATCTTCTGTTTTATATAAAGAGCTCTTTTTTGTTTGTCAATGTGGCTTGTAGCGTAAAAAGGAAAATAATGTGTAAAATTCACCCGAGACTGACTTGTGTTCCATACAAGCCTGATTCTATGCCACGGTATAGGGTTGTGTTGAGTAGTCTGCTTACAAAGTCACCAGTTTTGTGTTAAATGAGAGTTCATTTTAACTTGCAATATGATAAAGAAGTACTATTTGAAGCTCATATTTTGAACGTAGTGGAGCAATATTAAACCCCGTAACATACAGAACAAAATGTTTTTGGTGATTGTTGCTCTTTAAGTATAAATGTACATGTATACCTGCCATTAGAAATATCCTTTGAAATGCAATGTGTGCCGATGACTGTTGCTTGAAGTTTGGTCCGGGTATTATAAATTTGCTACAGCACTTTGTACATGTATTGAGACTTTGTATCATAGTGTGGTATGCACAAGATACAATTTGAACATTATAGTTTTGTTATGATATAATGAATACCAACTAAACCACCGTTGCCTATAAAAATGCATGATGTATTATTATCTGCAGTTCTGACAGATTTAGTTCTGTTTGATTCTTAACCCTTATTAGTCTGTAGAAGGCCAACACGGCTCGATGCTTGCACTCGGCTACACCATCGGACACCACCTCAACAAAACCAAGACGCCCAATCAAGACCTGGTCGTGGAAGACATGGAGGTCGATAAGACGTCTTCCCAGGAAGCACTTCAGGCTACGATCACCAAGGCAACAAACCTTTTGGGTAAGGAGGAGTCATTTTTATTACTTACATGTGTGTGAGGTTGGAGAAGAGTGACTTTATTATTGTTTTTTTTTTTTTTTTAATTTAATCAATATTGATTGATTTGTTTATCTTAGAAGATGAAAGCAAGTTCTAGCTTCAAATACATAATTCTGTCAGATTTTGGGGATGGTGTTCTGACAATCATTTTTACTAGTATTATTTCTTAGATGGCAACATTACAGAGAAGGTTGAGTTCTGGGAAAAGGTGGAATATAATTTGTGAGCATTATCATTGTATTATGCAAGTGTGGAAGAACATCAGATAGAAAATGTTCCCTGAAAAGCATGGCTCTTCAAATGCCTAAATATTCTAAATATGGCATGTAACATCATACAAATTGGGACAGATTTTTATGTCACATGTTTGTGTAGTCCCATATACATCTTTCTGTGTACAGTGCTTGTAACTTTACCAAGACTGGGCCAAATTTCTTATCATTTCGATGATTCCAGAACCTTGCAGTACAAACAAATACCTACATTCTACATGATCAACCTTTTCTGCTCAATTCCACAACGTTTCTTTCACAATGGCAATGCAATCGCATGACCAGAATTCAACTTCATCCTTAGGATTGGTCCCTGATGTAAAATATCAGATCTACATGAAACAAGTCGACCTACATGCAGTTTTCGTCCACTGCATTGCATAGATCCAGTTCCAAACTTCTATCCATATTGATAATTATGACAGGTGTGGCCTTGACAACTTGAGGAAGAGCTACTAACTTCATTCTTGTCTCACTCTATTTCAGTCTCATACATCGATGACAGCAACATGCTCTTCAGTCATGGAGCATGCCTGGCCCTGGGTGAGATCGCCCGCAACGGTCCCCTCCCCATCCCTCACGGTGAACTAGCCCAGTCCCATGCAGAGGATGGTAAGGTGGAAGAGTCCAAGAACAGCAAGAGGGGGAAATCGTCAGGCGGAGGGACAGCGGAAGCAACTAAAGCCTCTCTCGTGAAGAAGTTGATTGCGAAATTGGATTCCATTAAATTTTCTCAGAAGGTAAGATCCATGTTGTAGTCAGATTGGCGGATCTTACTCATGTGGATTTAAGTGAAAATGACCAATTAATGACCAGTTCAAGCATGTAACATTAACATTTTTCAAGTTTTATTGTATAGGTTTCATAATGAGCTTAAGGTTTGAAATCTGATTGTACAAGATTTGAAAATCCGCAACATTTTCACGATTTAAAAAAAATAATGACTTATTAGTTCTTAAAATGTTTGCAAATGCTATTAAGCAGGTCAAGCAACAAGGACTTCATGCTTCGCTTACATCAGTTCATCCTTCTGCCATGTTCCAATTTCAAATGTTTGAATTTTTGTTTGTGGACCAGCCTGCATGTTCTTCTTTGATACCATGAATATACAATGAGCTCCTCTCTGTCTCTTCCCCTCTCCCTGGTGTAGCTGAAGGAGCAAGCCTGTATCACCCTTGGATACCTCCCTGTAGGTGATCCAAACTTCAAGTCCACCCAAACAGTTCTAGATACTATAACTATACAATGAACTCCTATCTTTCTCTTCCCCTCTCCCTGGTGCAGCTGAAGGAGCAAGCCTGTATCACCCTTGGATACCTCCCTGTAGGTGATCCAAACTTCAAGTTCACCCAAGCAGTTCTAGATACTATAACTATACAATGAACTCCTCTCTTTCTCTTCCCCTCTCCCTGGTGCAGCTGAAGGAGCAAGCCTGTATCACCCTTGGATACCTCCCTGTAGGTGGTCCAAACTTCAAGTTCACCCAAGCAGTTCTAGATACTATAACTATACAATGAACTCCTCTCTTTCTCTTCCCCTCTCCCTGGTGTAGCTGAAGGAGCAAGCCTGTATCACCCTTGGATACCTCCCTGTAGGTGATCCAAACTTCAAGTTCACCCAAGCAGTTCTAGAAGGCCTCATCAAGGCAGCCAATGTAAGTACAGTGTTACTTCTAAGTCAATAAAAAAAGTTGAACAGACTGTTGAACTTATTTTGGCCATGACACAAAATATCTAGAAATACTTCTAGATGGAAATTTAAATAAACATTTCAATATTTGGGGTTAAGACATAGAAGCATCCAATTCAGTTTTTTTTTCAATCACAAACAACAAAAATTAGTGACAAATCTGCTGATAACCAATCAGAAGCAAGGATTTCACTAGCTTAAAACAAAAACTTCATTTGTCACTGATGACAAGTTTTGTAAAATGGGGCCCAGGTATTTTATCTTCGTAAAAACATTATCTCTAAGAAAATGTGTGACTGATCACTTGGCTTGAGAATGTCCACAGGAGTAAACAAAAGCTTGCGTAACAAAATTCAAGGTTGGTAGAAGCTTCAAAAACTACATTTTATTATGCCTCCGTTACGAAGTAGCCGGAGGCATTATGTTTTCGGGTTGTCCGTCCATCCGTACGTACGTACATCCCATTCTTGTGATCGTGTTATCTGAAGTACCGATTGATGGATGCCTGCCAAACTTTGGTCATGTATGTATCTTGCAGAGCCAATGAATTGATTAGATTTTGGGGTCATGAGGTCAAAGGTCATGGGCTCATTATGTATGCAAAAATAGCTTGTAATCACGATATTCTGAGAACCTGTTAATGGATTACAATTGAACTTGAATTTGAAGAAAAAAATTATGTTTTGGTTTGTAAAATTGCTCTATGACGGAGGCATCATTTTCGACTGCGCGCAGTTGAAGTTCCATCTAGTTATCTCTTTTGTATGGTTTGATTATTTCATACAGAGCCAGAACAACAAGCAGATGGAGCTTCACTTCAGCGTGGGTGATGCCATCTCCCAGGCGTCCCTAGGCGCCCTCTCCCGGTCAAGCAGGGATGTCTGGACCGAGGAGGAGGGGGATCTGGCCATTGGTAAGCCCCTCAAGAAGGGCCAGAAAGACTGGGTGGAGTGGACGGTTAACAGGATACTCAATGAAGAAATCAAGAGTCAGAACCCACACAAGAGACAGGTATGGAAGGTCCTTAGGATAGTATGGGAAAACAGTGTACAATGAATTTGAGTTCTTGCTGTGCCATCAAATGAACAAACATGTGCCATGGATAAGATTTAATTGCTCTTTGGGATCCACACAATTTGCTCTATTGTCCAACAGACAACAATAGACGCGAGCAAGGGACGCCAAGGGACCGCCAGCGTACCATACGCGTCCGGGAATGGGGGATTAAGAGATAAGTAGAGTCCCAAACCCGGACGAAGGCGGGTTGGAATAAATTTGCCTTCCTTAAGGCTTGTGTAAGATATGAGGGCTGTTCGTGAATAAATATCGAGTCTGTAGGTGACTTTGAGTGTGGGAAACCAGGCCTCCTACATAACTTGGTCTTCTGTCACCTCCACCAAAGAAGTTTTTTGACAGTGCTAGTATTTGTCTTTAGTTACTTTTGGTTTATATTCTCATTTATGCCTAGAAATATAATTTATGAATTCTTTATTTATGCTTGATTTCCCGACAGGCTTCTTGTTTCTGGCTGCTCTCGGTGGCCAAGAAGTGTGGTAGCCATCCTTCCCTGCAGAAACGTCTTGTAGACGTCCAGGGGGCTTTCATCGACATGCTCTCAGAAAGTAGCGGTAAGTGAACGTTTTGTTGTGTTTGTTGTTGATACATGTAAGGAGGGCCTCTCACTAACGTTTTGTATAAGGGATCTGGATTAAGATTGTTTTATTTTGGGAGTCTGGGCATAGAATGTTTAATTATGTATGATACACTTTTTTTAGTCTAGAAAACAGATATCAATTTATTCATCGGAAACCAGTTTTCGTGTTTTGTTCACACTTAGTGTGAGGTTCCAAATAATAGACCTCTTCAACATTTGTTAAGGTTTGCAAGAGGGACTAACCATCTTTAAATGTAGTATTCTAAACTACATCTCTCAAAGCAGTTATATTTGAGGAGACCCACCAATTAGGAGTAGTGTTTTCTTTTTCTCATTAACTGTTAAACATATCCATAAAATATGCAACGATAATGATTCTCATTGTAATTTCATGGTTACTTCAGGGATTCTCAAAATAAGATGATGTTTTCTGTTAAGTGATTTTGAGTTTCATTAAACTTTTGCAGAGTTTACCCAAGATGTAGCTTCTAAGGGTCTCAGCATAGTGTACGAACAAAGCAACGAGGAAGAGAAGAAGGCCATGGTGAACACATTAGTGGATACACTAGCAACGGGCAAAAGGTAAGATCATCTGGAGTTAAATAATATATAGTGCACATTAAACCACTGCTTTGTAGTAAAGACAAATATCTAGGCCCTGTGTTTCATCAAACTTGTTATCAATAACAAGTTATAATGAATGACTCTTAAAGGTACTATGTCCCATTTGCAGGCCAAAAAAATGAAAAAGTTAAATTCCAGCTGCATTTCAAAGATAATACTAATTTAGGACTTCTCTAAAAAAGGTGGGGCTTGAAAATGTCTTCAAGTGGGAAAATAACGACTATTAGTTGTCAAATCGACTTTAGGGCTATAGAGCCCAAAAGTAATAGTCTTGATTTTCAGACAATAGTACCGAATGGTCATACGTTTTTTTCTGCACAAAGATTCAATCAGTTAATCTTGGCCATCACAAGAAGTGGGTTATTGATGTAGACAAATGCTCATGTACCCTTTACAACTCTTTTCATGTATATTATTACCAAAGAAGAAAAAAGCCAGTCAGTCACTCAATAGTGTCTGACAGTAAAGTCTAGCAAGTAAACAGGTTTCCTTGCATAATTTGAATATGAGGACACTGCTAACGTTTAAATTTCACAGATAGGACATACATGACATATTCATAATTCCTGCAAAGTTCTACAGAATTTGAGGTTGGCTGCAAAAGGGACATAGTACCTTTAAAGACATCGTTTAACAATGTTAAATCTGAGCTGTGATATGGTGTAATATTGAAGCCCTAAAAAAGTTGCCCTTCAAAATGATTATGAAGTGCCTCAAAAAAGTAAAAATCTTTGAGTGGTCGGTTTTTACCATACTCATTTTCCCCAATAGACTGTAGTGTTATAAAAACCGTTAGGAAAACGAAAAATGAAATTTTGATTTCCAATCATAAATATCTTGATAATCAGAGAGGCGATCGTGAATTATCTTTATTACAGGATGAATTACAAGGCCCAAAAATGGATATTATGTTTCAGTTTTCTATTTTGACAGTATTTGCCATGGAATCACCTAGGGTCAAAACATCAGACAAATTTTGTAAAGCTGTGTACACTTATTCATTAGCCTGATTTGGAAGGCTAGGTCATGATTTTTTAAAGCCTATCTGCAGGCCAGGAGGGATTAGACCTCTCGCAAGGTCACTGACAGGTGGTTATCTCATCAAATCAGCTCTCAATTAACATAAGAAAAGGGGATCATGGTCGATCAACGGTCACCAATAAGGCTTTGTTTGCTATGTAGAGGGCGCAATTAGCTATAAGTAGTGCAGTAGGGCTTTAAATAAACATTGGTTTGAGATGAGATGAGATGCCTTCACTGAAAATGTTTTGCTCTCTTTCATGAAGAACAAGCAAGAAGAATGTGACAGGAGACACCAAGGTTTTTGAAGAGGGTGCTCTTGGAAACAATCCAGATGGGTAAGTCATGAAGTGAATGTTTTGAGTGAATGAAATCATTTTGAGTCCCAATTTGATTGCTCAATGAGTTTTGAACCTTAAAAATAAGTTTCAGAATTCGCTTTAAGAAATCTGTCATTTTCCTATCCTTACACATCATTTGAATGATAAGTGAACGTGAGAATATTTTTATGATTTCTAAAATTTAAAAGCATAGCTAATGATTGAATTATTAGCTCCAGCTTTGAATGCAAAATGTAGATATATTCAGCATAACAGAGTACTTCTTCACAATCAGTGGGAAAGTTACCTGTTTTGGTATTATCTTTCACTTGCCATGGCTTCTTCATCGTCGTACTTCATCAGCAACAATGCCAGCTATGGCGCAGACCTGCCAACCAGTACGATTTAGTCGTATTTTGTACGATTTTTAGAAGCAAATACGACAGTACGATTTTCCTCAATAAAATACGATTTCCCAATTGAATGGCCATTTTCAATAGCAAAATGTCCATTCTGTCCTGTAAAGTATCCTACAAGCATCTCACATCGGCAATTGGGGGATGTTCATTGGTTCATCGAACACAACAGTCGTGACAAAATCATGCATATTCAACCAATGATCCATTAAAAAATATTCTTCCTGTATGAAGGAACTGTAAGAGGCATTGATCCATGTAACAGTCCATGTTTATTTTTAAGAATACGACTTTTGTCAGTAAAATACAACTTTTGAGATTAAAGAATACAGTTTTTGAACTCCAGAGGTTGGCAGGTCTGATGACGTACGTCTGCATTAGCTTGCAGCATGGCAAGTGAAAGCTTACACAAACAGGTGATTTTTGCACTGATTGTGAAGAAAGAACAAATTTTCAAGTTACATCACAAATCAGAACTAAACCTCTTCAGTGATCCATTCAGTCAGTGTACTTGTGTTTTTCTTGCTGCTCTTCTCCTTACAGCCTTTCACATGAACACCGATGAGTTGATAGTTGTACTATTGTAAGAAAAACAAAAACATCCCCCCAAAATACATCTGGTTGAAACAGCTTGAACATTATGAAAATATTGAACATTATGAAAATAGAAGATGTAAAGTGGAAAATGGAAGATTGAAAGAAATCATCTTCTTTTGCAGATGATAAGGTATAAAGTTTGAGGAAAAATCACTTAATTAGCTCCGCCATTGTATGATCACATATTTCACATACATCCCACTTTTAAAGCCCGTCTGTACTAGTTTGGCCAGGATGGATAAGACCTCCCTGCAAGGTTGCTGACAGGTGTTTATCTCATCAAATCAGCTCTCAATTAACACAAGAAAAAGAGGATCATGGGGGACCAAGGGGCACACGTAGGCATTGTTTGCTATATAGAGGGCGCAAGTAGCCATAAATAGTACAGTGGGGCTTTAATGCATTGCTCATTTATATGCTTTTACAGGGGAGGCATGTCCACATACAGGGAGTTATGTTCACTAGCATCCGATCTCAATCAGCCTGATCTCATCTACAAGTTCATGCATCTGGCCAATCACAATGCTATGTGGACCTCCAGAAAGGTGAGTTGATTGGCCTGTCCTAAGGAAAGAATGTAGAAAGCCGTCTTATAGTAATAAGTAAATGCATCTCGCAAATCACAGTGCAGGTGAATTCATTAGTGTTATGATAAAGGAACACCAATTTGTTCTCATATTGTTCAAACTTCTATTGAAGGACTGTAAGTCGCGTATTTCTATTTTCAGAGTACTGGATTTTTTTTCTGCCATGTCCAGGAAAAGATTTGGTGCTCCAGTTATTAATTTTTTTTTCTTTTATGGACAAAGCCATTTAATTCATTTTTTTATGTTATCTGCTTCACTGTTTGATAATTCTATATAGTCCTATAAAATGATAATGCTTCCTTTGTAGAGTACAATTATTGATATGAAATGATAATGAATCAACCAAAAATCAACCTTTGCTTACTGGAACATGGTGGTTCCCGTGTTAAGCCTATGGGACCCTATATAATTCAGTAGTCAACAGGTTAAATATTGACCTTTTTCTGATCACTAGGGGGCAGCCTTTGGGTTTGGCACCATAGCATCGCAGGCTGGAGAGCAGCTGAAGCCATATCTGGCGCAGATCGTCCCCAAACTCTTCCGCTACCTCTACGACCCCAACGGCTCCGTCAGGGCGGCCATGACAGGCATCTGGGCCGCAGTGCTCAAGGACAACAAGACAGTGGTGAGTTTGGCATGGTGATTGTTATTTCCTTTCCTAGTTTAGATTATCATCTGTGGAGTATATTCCTATATAAGGTACAATGTACACGTTAGTAGGAGCTTTTGTTGTGCACAGCTGTTTTATCCTCTAAGCCCCACCCCCTATAAAAATAGTAATAACTAATAATATTATTAATAATAATAATGATAATAACAACAACAACATCAATAGTAATGATAATAATAGTAATAATAATAATAATTAATAAATGTATAAAGAAAGAAAGAAAGAATTAAAATGAATTATAAACAATAAAAATCTATTTCCATTCATTTATCTGCAACTTTTTTTCTGGTGTGTTTCTGTATAAACAGGGCATTGTTTAATTGTGAGATTTTCCCTGTGACATATTTCTCAATAGAATTGAATGTACATGCATTTTAAGCTCTAACTGATGTCATCATTTTTCGCCTTTCTTTGTTGACCCTCTAGATGGACACCTACTTGAAGGAGATTGTGGATGATCTCTTAACCAACATTACAAGCAGTATGTGGAGAAACAGGGAGTCTAGGTAAGAATAACAATATCTGATATTATATCCCGCATACTAAGAATCTTGCAATCTGATTGGTCTAAACGAGATCACATGATTAATGATAGATAAGTACTATCTCCCTACGATAGTACTTTTGTATAGTATGTGGAGGAACAGGGAGTCTAGGTATGTAAGAGTAACAATATATCTCATAATAAATGATCGCCAGATGCATCCATTTAGCTCAGTCGTTAGAGCAGTGGTCACGTAATCCGGTGAACTGGGTTCGAAACCAAGTTGATGCGCTAGTGCCCTTTGGTAAGGCCTTAATATTCATTACCAGGTCCCTCGGAGAGGACCTAAAGCCGTCAGCCGTCTGGTTGCTTACTTACAAGCATTTATGCTTTCTTAGCAGTCAGGTGAAATAACCACAAACAAACCACCAATGTACATGAATATTTTGGAGACACTTGTGATTTCGTTTTACCACGTTTTCTGTCATCATTTTGGAAGTAATTTGTCAAGAAATACTTTGATTTAATTTGACCAAGGCAAGAGGCATCATTAGCCATATCACTTCTTTCATGTCCACCATCTGAGCTCAAATGTTCTGCCGGGCTCTTGCACACTGAAGAGCCTTCTCATTTGCTGCCACTAGGTCTTCCAGGAAGCATTCATTGGTCATCTAGGAGTGGGCATCCTAATAGCCATAGAGGTGTTGTGGTCGAGTGGATATGTCACCGGACTGTCGATCACAAGGTCCGTGGTTTGAGTCTCACGGCAGCACTAATGTCCTTTGGCAAGACATTGATCTACATTTGCCACACTCAACCCAGGTGATGTAGATGGGTACCTGGCAGGAATTAATTCCTTGAAATGCTAGAGCGCCGTAATGGCAGCCATACTAAAGCCAGGGTAATAATCGGGAGCGTCAGGAGTGTCAAGTCTGACAGACATGAGCGCTATACAAGAGCCCACTGTTATTATTATTTATCAGTGTAATCGTGTATCACTTATCCTTGTTATCTTTTTCTTCTTCTGTGTAGTTGTTTAGCACTGAGTGATCTTCTCAGAGGAAGGAACGTAGATGACATCGTGGAGCATCTTCCAGAGCTCTGGGAGAAGTGCTTCATGGTACTGGATGACATCAAGGTAAGCGGAATGTGATTGGGTGTTGTGCACTGTTATCTGATATAGATTTTATTTCCTTGTTTTTTTTTCCTAGTCATCTGTTCAATTTTTTTATGCAAAAAGGATCCCTGTATTTGGGAAACAGATTTGGATATTCGGCACTCAGCGCTAACACGGATCAGGTGCACATGAGCCAGTGTCTTGTATTATGATTCCGTTTGAATTTATTTGACCATATGAAAATCTTGGCCCTGTCTTATAAAGATTTGCGATTGATCAACATTAATCACAAGCTCAGTAATCAATCGTACGTATGCAGTCCCCTATCTCTTATGTACATCATACTGATTGATATCAATCGCAAATAAGTTGCCGATTGATATCAACTCTTTATAAGAGGGGACCCTGGTCTTACTTATTCCATCTTGTTACATGGAGTTTTTGAAATGTGACTCATTCATGAATTAATCATGAAACCATTGAATCTATGTATAATTTGTGTTTGTTTTGTAGGAATCTGTAAGGAAAGCAGCAGAAGCAGCATGTAGATCACTCAGTAAGGTAAGCATTTCATTATCCGAAAGGGAACCCTAAACTTTGAGAAGAAAGGTGAGCCTTTCAAAGTCCCAAATTTTAGATCCCAATGTGAATTCCAAATCTCTGCAGTGTTCGAAGAACTCTTCAAGTGTGAAAGTGGGGCGTTATTTACCATTTTAAAATTAAAAATAATCTTGACTTTGAATGTTTCCAAGAGGGAGGGGGGGGGGGATTTTGATAAACTTGTTTGATATAAGCAGTGTTTTTATTATTATCATTATTATTATTTACCCTTCTATATGCAATGATACAAATTACATCAACATTTAAAATCATCAAATTTAAGGTTTGTTTGTTTGTTGTTGTTTTTCTGTATAAAAAGACAACATGCATTCAGTAAAACAATAACAAATAGAATAATGAATTACAAAATATAATAATCGGCTGGATAGCCCATATTCGGTGGTATGTGACCTGTACTACATGTATGGTTGAAAATTAATCTGCAAGCAATCTCTGTGGTTCTACCACGCCTTTTCAAAGTTCTTCCAAGCAAGTCATAAGTATCCTAGGGTAACAAAGTCCAATTACTAAAAGTTTATCGTTTTATTTTTTCTTACCCTGTCTCTACACTTCACCATACCATTGACCAGGTGTGCGTTAAGATGTGTGACCTGAACTATGGTAAGATCGGTCAGCGAGCAATTACTCTGGTTCTACCGTGTCTCTTCAAAGGTCTCCCAAGCAGGGTCACAGAGGTCAGAACATTCAGGTCAGTAATATAATCTTTAGACTACGTGACTCATCTTGGGAGAAAACAATGCAGATATCTATCTATCTATCAGGCTATAGTTCATCCAGACGTTGGACAAAGCCCTCCTCATAACATTTCTATTCTCTTCTGTCTCTAGCTGTCCTAGTCCAAGCGGCCATTCCCATGTATGATGTTAGGTCATCTCTCCATCTTCTCTTCTGCCTTCCTCTTCTTCTCTTTCCCATCCTTGGTTGCCATTCTGTTAAACGATTTGTCCATCTATTGTCCTGAAGTCTTGCTACATGCCCAGCCCATCTCCATTTTGATTCTCTGACTTTCTCCATGATATCTTTAACCTTTGTTTTCTGGCGTATGACTTTGTGATTGATTATGTCCCGCAGAGATAAATGCGACATCTTTCTCTCCATAGCTCCATGCCGATATACTCTACTCTAAATCTGTTGATATCTAAGAAATTTGATTTATGAGATTTCACAGAAAATTATGAGGTAGTATAGTGATCCTTTGTCGTCCCTTGATTTGAAGCTCTGTGTGTTGACTATCGAATTTGTACAAGTACAAGTTTGTTAATGACATTGTACAGAACATAGATCCCATATTTTGTTGCAAGATTATTATTATAACTTGCTGTAAGGGTTTTGTTCTCAGCTATACTTTAACAAATGTTAAGTGCTTTTCTCTCCCTGTTTTCTTTAATTAATCCTCTCTCTCATACTTTCTGTCTTTCTCCTTCCTTCCCTCTTTCCTCCTTTTATCTCTATCAATCCATCCCAAATACAGTCTTTCAACGTTGGTAGCAATGAGTAAGAATGCCGGTGACTCGATCAAGCCTCACATACCCCAGCTTGTTACGGCTCTCCTAGAGGCTCTGAGTGGGTTAGAGCCCCAGGTCATGAACTACATCAGCCTACATGTAGGCAATGATAAAGATGCTCAAGAAAAGGTCAGTATTATACAGTGTGAGTTCAAAAAAAGTTTACATCTAGAAAATTGCTAATCATTTAAAAAATTATCTATTAATAGTATATTATTATACATCTTATGAAAGAGTGTTTCATCCCAAATCATTTGGTATCATTTTTGTGTGGTATGTGTTCACGCTTGGATGAACATGAGCATTGTTTGCGTGATGTTTGATTAAAACAATTGGGATTTGGGTATTAATTCGGTCTTTGCCGATCCAAATAACATCCCTAACAAAATTAATCATGCCACACATATCAAATATTGAATATCAAATATCAACGAACATTTGTGCGTGTGTGTGTGTGACTTTGCCCTTTGCAAAAAGCATATGCAATGCATTCCATTTGATACCTTCAATTCATTCTCTCACTCCACTAATCCTAACATAATACATACTGTAGGCATCACTTCGGCGCAAGTCAATTTTTGCCCTCTCGCAAAGAATGCCTCTTGTTCACCCAAGAGTGAACACATTCCACACAAAAATGATACAAAATGATTTGGGATAAAACACTCTTTCATAAGATGTATAATAAGTTACTGTTCATAGATGATTTTTAATATAATTAGCAATTTTCTAGGTGTAAACTTTTTTTTGACTCACACTAGAGTGGTGACAGTTATAGAGTTCATAGTTAACATATTTGATTGGTTTTCAACATTTGGACATTATTTTTTACGCTCTTTCGGAAAATAAAGTTCAAAATGAGAAATTCTAGAAATAGATTTTATGATGTCACAGCTTCGGTACTCTATTAACATTGTTATGAAATTGAATATTGTATGTAGGAGAAAGTAAGAAATACAGACAGACAGACATACGTCATGGAGAAGAATGCAGGTGACTTCTTAGACCTCACAGTGGCACAATAATTGCTCCTACGGCAATCGCTCAGGACTTTATTTCATCAAAGAGTTAGGAAGAATTGTGTTAGTGTAGGAAATTGACCAGGGTGGTGTTTCAGAAAAGCTAAGATCGACTTTAAGTTGGACTTAACTATGGCAGGCTGTTCATGCCACTGTTTGCTCTCACCATTATGATCTTTAGATAATCTTTTTTCCTTCAATAATGAATTATCAACAAATTTAAATTCTGTAGATTTGTGACCAGCATTTGTAAGTCCCTCGAGAGACCAATGCCAGTAAATGGTGAGAGCAAACAGTGGTATGAACGGCCTGACATAGTTAAGTCCAACTTAAAGTCGATCTTAGTCTTTGTGAAACACCACTCTGGAGCTATTGACAGATGATGTGGCTATAGCATGTTTTTGGAAACCACTTGTTACATCTGCACACATACACTGGTGTGTAGAGTCTATGGGTGTGGGTAATAGGAGACCCACACGTGTGATGCAATGAAGCGCTACTGTGCGGAGTGATTGGTGGCTTCCTATTTCTTATTCGGTTATACAGTCTGAGTCAAACCTGCTTTTTTTTCCTGTTTTTTTTCCTTCTTTTTCCTTACTAGTATTTACTTTTTCTTTTTCATTTTTCCTACAGAGTGTAGAGATGTTAACAAATGTATTATGCGCTTTATAAGAACTGTGCTATTATTATTTTTTATTATTACAAAGACCACCTGTCTACAAGTACCACATTTTTTGTTTCCCTTGAATATGGTTTTTCATTGAAACATGTACTAAAGGAATCTGTCTACAAAGACCACCTGTCTACAAAGGCCACTTTTTGTGTTTCCCTTGGGTGGTCGCTATAGACAGGTTTGATTTTATCTAGCTTTAGAGTTTGCAGCCTATAGGCAAACCAATACATTAATGTTGATGGCTGTTATGTTAGGAGAATGACAGGTGTTTCTAATGGGAGTCAATGGAAGAAAGACAGAGCTCGTCTGAGTAATTGACACACTTGGACCATACGGTGAGCTCTTGCCCAATGAATGATGTCATAACATAAACATGTACTCCAATAATAACAAATACAAGCCCTGTACGCTCTACGACTACTTACAAGAAGAAGCCAGTGCATTTCATGTAGGTTTCCTCTTTTAGCACCAGAGGGCAGCACAAAGCCAACCAACGATATAACCAGGTCGATCATATCTAAGGCGATAATCAAGACAGAAGAGTGATTGCTCATTAACCAGGAGTATCCATTTTGTTTTCTTTCTTCATTGTAGCTGGATGTTGCGCGGATTGATGCAAGCAAATCCTCTCCCATGATGGAAACGATTAGAATGGTGAGTTGTGATTCAAATTGGCAGTTCTTACCTGTAAGTCTCTTTCAGATATAAAGCATGCAAAAGCACAGTATTTTTTTTTTAATGACATAAAATGTAATACCTTCACTTTTCTCTTTTTTATAACACAGACCTAAGAGAGTGAAGAAACATTTTGACAATGTCATGAAAAAATATGTGGTTGATTGTTCAGTCATGAAGGCATCGTTTAACAATGTTAAATCTGAGATGCACGGCGTACGTGTTATCAGTGTCTGTGATACGGTGTAATCTTGAAATCGCGCTTCAAAATGATCAAGAAGTGCCTCAATAAAGTAAAAATCTTTGAGGGACCGTTTTTATCATACTCCTTTTCCCCAATAGACTGTAGTGTTATGAAAACCGTTAGGCAAACGCAAAATTTGGTTTTGATTTCCAATCATAAATATCTTGATGATGAGACAGGCGATCGGCTTGTAAAAGTCATGGGGTTCCTGACTGACCTAAAGGTTTATAATTATCATTGCAGCATGAGCTAAATCCAGGATTTTGTTTCAGAATTTGAGACAAATACCGGATCCCTTTAAAATGTAAACAAGAAAAGTTGAAAAATTTATGTTGATTTTCAATTAAAATGTTGATGAAACTTCACTACAGATACTGTTACTTGATGCATTTCACAACACATTAGTTCAATATTTGATTGTTAAGTCTGGTTTTTATTTGTTTATTTCTCTCTTTCTCTCTTTTCAGTGTGTGCAATATGTAGATTCCAATGTCCTCAGTGAACTAGCTCCGAGGGTCAACGACCTTATACGTAGTGGTATTGGTGTAGGAACCAAGGTAAGGATATGACTTTTGTCTCACGATACTTTGTGTATAATTATATTGTTAGTATTATGTACATGTGCGTACTGTACATACAGTCAAGAATTAAGTTTTGGTTAGCATTAACATTTTCATCTTCTTCCTTTTTTGCTTCTTTGTTGTTGTTGTTTTGTGTTGTTTTTTTGCTTAATAATTATTTATTTTCTGTCCAAGAAATGTGGAAATATATCATCCACCAGCATTACATTAAGGTAATCCCATACAATTCACGGCAGAAAAATACAACAGATGCACATTCATATGTTCATCCTTATTTGCTAACAGTTAAAAAAATACATTATAATATGTATTTAGTAACATTTTATAAATAGTAAGGATTAGCAGAAACTCATTGGTCAGATCAGCATATCTTTGGAGTTGAAATACATATGGTAGTGTTTTAGATACCAACTGCCCCGTCCCTGTGATAAGACTTAACTATGTTGTTTACCAGTCGCTTACTGACACACTACACTTCTCCACAGATGCTCCCCAGATGCATGCGTTCCATACAACATATGACATTTATCCTTTTATTTCATCCAAAAGTAAAAATCTCTGGATATGGCCATCGACTTATAATTCTTTCTGACTTTACTTACACAGTTAAATGGTCTATCATTCAGTCAATCAAACAACAGTTATTATAAACTTTCCTGACAATGGATAGTCAACCTGTTTGAAACGTTGAGCCACTCCTACTACCCATCCTCTCCAACCGACACTATAGTTCTCTTTAGAACTATAAGCTCAAAAAAGATTACCAACAGTCTTTTTCAGGACTACACACACACTCCAGAAAGAAAGAATCTCCAATCCTCCCCCCCCCCCCTCTCTCTCACATGGTGCAACCGTAAGCCTATTGTACATAAAAAACACTTTCTGTTTTATTTTAATTCCAGGCTGGTTGCGCCAACTTCTTGATTCTGCTGAGCCAGCAATGCCCTCAGGATCTAGCACCTCATGCAGGTCAGTAAACTTTGGTGAAGAAAGGTTTTGCAAACACCCAAGCTATTATTTGAGAGCTATATACGCCCTCTGTTTAATTTTAATTTCAGGCTGGTTGAAAGTATTAATTTTCTGGTTGAAATTTATTAATTTGTCACATTGAAAGTTATTAATTTGCCATATTTTTACTGCTTGAGAAAGTAGATTTACCTACATGTACTGGTAATTATATTGGTCGATTAGATTTCTTTAATTTCTTATATGGTCAATAAAGAATAATCTTTAAGAATATACTGAGTTATAATAATTACCATAATGACTATACTCAATTCAATATTTGTATGAGCTATCACTTAGTATTCACAAAGATATGAATTTCTTTGCATTTTCACTAGTGCTATGAACAATTGAAGGATTTTTTTCTTCAAATAAATTCAAGAAAAGAAGATTTTTCTTTTAAGCTTGCACATATGATGTGAAAGGGTTACACTCTACTAGATGCACATTTGCATGTCTTAAATCATTTTCAAATGTAATTACACCAGGGACCCATTTCACAAAGCTTTTTTTCAATGACAAATGACAAAAATCAACAACAAATCTGCTGATAACCAATCAGAAGCAAGATTTCACTAGCTTATAACAAAAACTGTCATTTGTCACTGATGACAAGTTTTGTAAAGTGGAGCGCAGATTTCAATTTTTGAATTTTGGGCCACGTCTTTACTATAAACGTATGCGATTTTTCCAAACTAAGGAGCCTCATACTCAGGGCTTAAATTAATCCAAGGCCACCAAGGCCATGGCCGTGGATGCCCTTTTGATTGGCCTCAATGCCCCTCTCATTGGCCGTGGAGATTTTTTGTGCCCTTTCCAATTCTTCCTATTTGTGCTGTAATATAGAGATGTTCCCTACAGAAAAGTGGCCTTGCCCTAAAAATATTGAAATTTAAGGCCTGCATACTCCTTGTCTAAACCAACTTTATTTTGAATATCTTGAAATCAATTCACAGCTCTGTTTATGTGGGTTATATATAATTGATAATTATAATAATATTAAAGATTAGGATATTACTGCTTCAAGGGGATATGAACCCTTCCCCTAAGGTTTTCATTGAAATATTTACTAGATATTAATATTTACTAGATATTAAAATAAGAAATAATAATATTCAGTTCTTGTATAGCTCATATCACATTATATAACGTCCTTAAGCGCTTCCAAAAAACTTTTGAAATGATTACCCTAGCTTTAGCTCCGGCAGCCATTATCAGCGCACAGTGCATTTCAAGGAATAATCCTACCAGGTACCCATTCACGTCACCTGGGTCGAGTGTGGCAAATGTAGATTAATGTCTTGCCAAAGGACATTAGTGCCGTGGCGGGACTTGAACCGCTGACCTTGTGATCTTTGCAGTACGATGACATATCCACTGGACCACGACACCTCTAATAACCATTTTTTTTGTCCTCCCCACCTTCTAGGTAAGCTGCTGGCATCTCTGCTCTCTGGACTCAATGATAAGAGTATGGCTGTGAGGAAGCTCAATGCCTCTGCAATAGGAAACCTTATTAAGGTATGTTGATCATGTATTGAGTAGTCAAAAGACTTACATGTAACTCCGTTTCGTTGACGATCAACCATGCATCAAGTCTTTCGTCTTCTTTGTGCATGGCTGATCATCAACGAAACAGAGTTAAGTCTTTTGTCAACTCTGTTTGTTGCTACGGCAGGCAGCCAGTAAAAGCGAATTTGTTTAATCAAATTATGGAAATGCAAGCATTACTTTAAAAAACAGAACTTTGTTATTCCTGGCTCATTTTTCCTGATTGAGGTGTCATATTTTTTCTTTGAAATTCAGATACCGTCCGCCAAATGAATTTTTGGTATTATTTCTTCAAATTGATTTTAATCATTCAAGTTGGAAATATGCATTATGCAAGTTGCATCAAATGAAATAGGAAGATCTAAGCTTTACAAATATGTGTCATTTATTAATTATAATTGTTATTAAGTTATGATAAAACATCAATAATTCTTGGTTTCGTTTTTTTTTGGACGCACTGTATATGTATACATAAATATTTTTCCAATTTCTGGATTATTGTAATCCACCTGGACATATTTGTGCCTCCCTTTTTTTGTTGAAATACAGGTAGCCAAAGACAGCAGTACAGAGAAGTTGATTTTGCGACTGAAGACATGGTTCTTGGAGAAAGATGGTAAGTACATTCTTTAAGTTCTGTGAACAGTAAAGATATATAGATATCATTTTTAATTTGATTTGTCTGTCAATTATAGGTTGATGTGTTGCATTCTAGCTTTCACCATTGACCATAAATGCAGTAGACCTTTTTGTATGCATTCTAGGATTGTAAAATCATCCCAATTCAGCTGTGCTGCAATTAAGTTTGTTTTTAATCAATAAACCATTAATTTATCTATCTATCTATCGATCTACTAGATTGATTAATGGTATACCAATACTTTTTTAATTTTACACCTTTGGACTACACATACATGTATAGACTTACATGTACATGAAGTGACAGGAACAACCCTTCCTGGCCTTTGCATGCAACCATAGCCTTAGACCCATTATCAGACTCTGAGGGCACCTCGTGTCTTGTTTACACATCACAATAAATGATGTCTTTAATTCCTTTGTGCTACAGATGGGGACCTCCAAAAGGCACTAGAACAACCCTAACGGCCATGGCATGGACAACCCTGAAATCCTCAAGAAACATGCTGCCATAGCCTTAGAACCAAAATTAGACATTGAGGATATCCCTTGTTCAGCTGTGTATGAGCTGATGATGAAATCCAATGTTATTAAATGTACTCTCTCTGGGTTCCAGATGAGGAAATGTCATGAAGCAATTGGAACAACCCTACTGTCACGCCTTGTACAGCCCTGGCATCCTCAAGAAGCATACAGTCTTGACCCTAGACTCGTATTAAACCTTGGAAGATACGCCTGTACATGTACCTCGTGAATTGTTTACACATCACTCTCTGGATTATTTTCCCTTTTGCTATAGATGGGGATCTCCATGAAGCGATGGGAACGACTCTCCTGGCCACGCCTTTTACAACCCTGATATCCTGAAGAAACATAGAATCATGACCCTAGACTCACATTAGCCCTTGAAGATACATTTACCTCTTGTGTTGTTTAGATAGTACTACCGGTATCTGGATTCAAGATTAAATCTTAATTCTTATTTTCCCGTTTGCTGTAGATGGGGACCTCCATGAAGCAATGGGAACGACTCTCCTGGCCATGGCCTGGTACAACCCTGATATCCTGAAGAGACATGCTGCCGTAGCCCTACCATTGGCCTTCCTAGCCATGCATCAGAAGAAGGAACCTGGCAAGGACTGCATGTGGGAAGGAGTGTGGCTCGATACAACACCAGGTAATGATGATGATCATTGGCGGTCCAACATTTGCCTGGGCGATATTTGCTCTGAGCTTTATGTTGTCATAGATGCAGGGTTGGGATTGATATTTAGGTTTATGCTAGGTTTAAGGTTAGGGTTAGGGAAAGTGTTGTGTCCAAGGTTTGAACTTTAGTAGAATACTGGCAACGAAGTCAAAAGATGGTCTTCCCTGATATGTATAATAATGCTTGCTTAAAGATAAACAGAATCCAACAAAACTTACACTGTATGTTCAAGATTACAAATAAATGACTTGTGCCGAACAATTTTGGTATAAGGAAATCTGGGTAAGTAGGCTCGGCATCATGTGCTTAAGAGAGGTCCTATGTCAACGGGAGTTGTGGTTTTTTCTTGTAGATGATGCCCAATAAGTTTTTGTGAATTTGTTTTTATTTCACTGGTTCAAACAACCAATCTACTGCAGGATAAACAATCCAAAATAAATTGTAGCTTTTTTCTCTCAAAATATGATTCCCATACCAGAGATCAAGATTAGCTTTGATATTCATTGATGCACCAAACTAACAAACACAATAACCTGTCTAATTCTCAGGCACAGAGGGCGGCATCCGTCTCTACCTCCCGGAGATCGTGACCATCACTCAAGAAGGTCTGGCCTCTACATCGTGGCCCCGCAAGGCCCAGGCTGCCCGGTCCATGGGCACCGTAGCCACCAAGCTAGGTGCTAAGCTCCAACCACCTCAGCTGGGTCTACTCCTAGGGGCTCTCCTGGAGGGACTACAGGGGAGGACATGGGATGGAAAGGTAGGAGCTTGAGTTTTGGATTCAGAAACTTTGGATTAAGGTGCAATTGTGGGGAGAGGATTCCATGGAAATTTTCATCCCCCTTTTTTTTCCCCATGACACCAGTCACAAGACTGCCTTGAGGAAGTCCAATGGGGGACAAATTTAGTTGAAATACCTTATCCAATGATTCATGGATCCTACGTGTGACTTCTCATGTGATAATCTAGAACCTTCAGCAGTATACCAATGTGCTCCCACAAATATATATATAATAATAATAATAATGTTTTATTTACCCAGGGTAGCCACTTTAATTATGAAACTACCCTTTCAGCGGGCCCTGCATAACATAATATGTTATTACTACCCTTCTCCAATCTAAAATGCTGAGTGCCTAGCTAGAAGGCAGAAGGTCCCATTATTATAAGTCTTTGGTATGACTCGGCCGGGGTTCGAACCCACGACCTCCCGTTCATGAGGCGGGCGCTCTTACCACTGAGCCACCATGCCCGGTGGTCGCTAATATGTTGGGTATAGTGGTTGGAGGATGCATATTCACATTGTTTTTCCTATAGTGATATTTTTTCTCTTTATTTTGTCCCCCTTTACTTTCAGGATGAATTGTTGAAGGCCATCTCCACAGTTTGTATATCGTGCAAGTAAGTCCACTTTCGGTGTCCATGAAATTGTTGTACAATATCTGTGACAGTTATGTAATAACTTTAGTTAGCAAAGAGAGAGAGAGAGAGAGAGGGAGAGAGAGAGAGAGAAGGGAAAAATAGGTTCATTTGAGTTAAATACTGTTTAAGGAGAAGTTTTCTCGAATGATGTATTCCATATTTAAGGCTTTGAGTAAGGGTTTATTTGAGACGCCTTATGACTTGTCTGTTTTGTGAAAATGCTGACAAAAAGAATTCCTTAAACCTTAATTTCAGTTCATGACTTTTTGAAGCGTTAGGCCTTCAAGGTAGGATGTCAGTTTGTCATTTTAAAGTAAGCAGAAGTTATTGGTTGAAGTGTAATGTGTGTATATGGGTCTGTCCAGAAAGTTGGGGAAATTCTTGAGACATACGAGAAGTAAGAAACTATGTCACCTATCAACTGTAACAATGTTTGCTCAAATTCAGAAGTACTCGAGCTTCATGGTGAATTAATATTATGGACCCAAGGTTTATGTAATGTTATATGACTATGGTGTCCATGTAACGTTAGTAAAGAGAGAAATGTGTATTAAGCAAAGACTTTGAAGAAAAGCAATTGAAACAGGATTGATACTGGCAAGGCACTACTATATATATATATTCATTGCATAAAAATCTTTAACAAATACTTTCATCTTTCATGTGTAGTAGGAGATCTCATACCGACGTTACATGGACATCGTCATATTTTTTGCCCTAACTGTATGGAATGACCCATATATTACATGTTCATATGTTTTGATCAATGACAGGACTGCTTTACAGATGGAGATAGAAAAGCAGCCAAGCATGGATACAGTCCTGAACGCTCTCTTCAAGGAGAGTCGCAAGGAACGGGTGGATTACAAGATGGCTGCCTTGGACTGCCTAGCCTCGGTACTCCAGGCTCATGAAGCAGATAGATTCAAGGAACTGACGGACATCTTGTATTCCATCATCAGCAAAGTGAGTCAACTTCCTCTCTGCATTTTATTCATAGTTGTTCTAGTAGAGTGAAACCTGTATATAATGATGATGATGATGACGACGACGACGGCGGCGGTGTCAGCGGCGACGACGACGACAGCGATGATGAATAAATAAAACGTTATAATAATAAAAACGTTACTAATAAAGCGCTTACCACTGAAGTCTCTTAGCGCTAAAAAGCAAAAAAGGCCACTCAAGGGAGACAAGAAAAGTGGTCTTTATTCGAAGGTGGTCTTTATGTACAGGTGGTTGCTAAAGCAGGTTTGTTGACTGTAGTCCTCATTTTTCTCAGGACTGTATTTCATCAAAGATGTATGGTCAGCGTTGGGATTTGATAAGTATCTGGTTGATGGATGTTGTAAAAAATCTGTTCAGCTTATCATTCAAACTTTGCCGAACGTCAATTTTACGTTAATCATTCAACTGTCTTTGTACCATGAATTCTTTCATCAGACTCTTCTGTGACATGCATGACAATGTCAGCATGTTGTGCATTTATGGACTTACAAATGCTTATTTTCCTTTCGAAATTGCCTGTTGTAAAATTGCCACATGTTAAAACACCTGAAAAGTAATAAACTACACATTTGCTCTTTACATGAATTTGGTGCTTTGATGTTAAGGCCAAACCACAAAATGTGACCATTTGTCATAAATAATTTTTTTCCCCTCTTTGTTTCAGGAGAAGTCTGATGATGACAGTGACGAGGAGGATGTAACCGACAGAGCTCGGCAGGATGAGAAGTTGAAACTCAAAGAATGTACTTTCATCAACCTTGGCCTTGCATGGCCATCGCAAAGGGAAACACAAGGTAAAGAAATTATCAATTAAAAACAAATGTACTCCCTGTTTTACTACTAGGTTTAAAGGCCCACTGTAATTGTAGCTACTTGCTCTCTCTATATACAGGGTTCTTGTTAATTTTTCTGATAGCAGGCTATTTATGATTTACAGGAGGCTACTAAAATTGCAAAAGAAAAATCTCTGTGCGCGTAGCGCACATCACCATGTGCGCGAAGCGCACATCACGAGCGCGAAGTCCCTTGCGGCCGGGGTCCAGTTTTAGGGTTTTAGATGCTCTCTGGTGCTATCTTAGCCTTATTTTTGAAGATATGACCACACTGTATGAGCCATAGTTTAATGATAAAGATCATGAATATTTTGGCTGAATAACTTACTTTTCATATGATATACAATATGAAATGAAAATGCTCCATTATTGTTTCTGATCATTTGGACGCAGAGCGAGCTCTGGAGCTGGCCTCTTTAAATTATTGCGAGCGGAGTTCGCTGGCTTGAGCTTGTTTACGAACGTACGTCTACGGTCTAGTCTCTGTGACAGTGTATGTGTATAGCGTGTCGCACCGGTTGTGCAGCGCTCGTATTCTGAATCGAATCGTGCATCGCCAAATCAATCACAGTTTTACACTCATTATTACAGGGTTCGTACGGGTCAGGGAATTTCTGGAAAGTCAGGGAATTTACAAATGTATTTTCCAGAAGCAAAAAGTCAGGGAAAGTCAGGGAATTCATCCATTTCTTCTGGAAAGTCAGGGAATTTTTTTTTTTTTCAAGATGTTTGTTAAAAGGGCATTTAATTTGTCTTGTGAACAAAGGAAAATACATTTCGTAAAATCTGTGGTTCACAGGACCTTTTTCGTAATAAATTACACGCAATATCTTTCGGACCTACTAGTGTGTCTTTCATACATGTATGCAAGATGTTTGTGTGCGTAAATGACTTGCATTGACAGTTGCGGTGCGTGGTGCCGGTGTGTGTACATGCACGAATGCTGCATGCACGCTGTACGATTACTTTTTGATCGAGCTTGTGCATTGATTTTTATTAAAAATTTGAATGAAGGTGTTTTACCCCGGGGTTTTACCACAGAATATTCATTAAACAATAAATAAAATGTAAATAACTATGCATCATGAGCCACTCGTGTTTTATTAAGAACCCCTTTAAAAATCGTGTTGCTCTTTACTCGAATATCGCAACCCTGAATCGCATTTGATTCCACATTTGGCGTCCATTGTGCGAGCGCGAGCATACAGCCAGCTCACTGATCTCTACGAAAAACTAGCCTAGCCTCGTGGTTGCTGCTTTCCCCAACGTCCGCAATTAAGGCACACTTTTTTCCGTCAGCAAAATATCGAAAGTCGGGAGTGCGCCTTATATAGTCAGGAACAGGATATTTGAGTCCTCAAATGCTACTTTTTAGTGGTTTTCAAAAATCTCTGTGTCTCAACATGAATTACATAGTGCAAATAAAGAATAGGATCTACTATTTGAAGTTAAACTACGTTCCTAATTTGAAGGGAAGAGAGTTTTTTGTCTTCAGTTTTTTTTTCAGTCTCGATTAAATTATGCCCTGTCGCATGGCACTTTGCCGGCCGAAGCTCTCCCGTGTCTTCAGCTCACTTACACAGGGGATAACGAATCACCACGCGAACACTAGCCTGTCCACAATCCTGTTTGGACTCGGGGGTCAAAAATTCTGTCATCTTTAGTTTTAAAAACAACATTGTTACTGGGTCTAACTTATTTCACAAGCACTACAATTGTGCCTCGTAATAAAATGAAAGTATTTTCATACACTGTCACTGAAATAGAGCCGATCTGATGTTAACAAAAAGACCAATGTTGGCTTTTTTTTTTGATGGCTTTTTGTTAACCAGATCAGATCGCGTCTTATATCAGTGTTCGAAAAATACTTTCACTTTCATTATACGAGGCAAATTGAGGTGCTTTTGAACTAAGTTAGACCTTGGTCTAGTAACAATGTTGTTTTTAAACTAAAGATGACAGATTTTTTGTTTTCAGATTTGTTTTCAGATTTTTTTTTTTTTTTTTTTTTTTTTTTTTTTTTTGGGGGGGGGGGGATCTTCGAAATAGGGGTGCGCCTTATAGTTTAGTGATTTGCTTCCTAGTATTGCGATGATGTTTAGTTGTACGCTTTAAATTAAGACATGTTCATCATTGAAAATGGTCATGGAAATTTACATTAACCTGCTCTGGAAAGTCATGGAAAGTCATGGAATTTTAAAAATGTGTAAGTGTACGAACCCTGTTATTACTACCGGTATTATTTATAATTTAGCCTACATTATTATTTACATTTCAAATAAAAAACTTACCTGTACGTTGCTTCTTACTCTTAATAGTAAGGAAGGAAGAATCGATGTCTGCCGTTTCGATTCCATTTTAATTCGACTGGCGTGGGATCTCGGAGATAAATTCACTCAGCTAGCTCAGCTCGGCTCACAACGCGCGCTTTTCTTGCGTAAGCTAGCTTGCCGGCCTGCGCTTGGCTCTGGCGCACTGGGCATATACTAGATAGCTCTGCCCCCGCGTGCGCAGCGCCGCAAGTCCATATTTTAATAGGGTTTTATTTTACGATCGTTTCAGAGACGTTTCATCTCATTTCTTTACGACCGTTTTCACAACCCCGCTATGAAAGCGTGTCTTCGTGAAGCTTGTGATAACAGAAATTTGAGATAGCGACTTGACCGAATATGATGTGATTTTTGTATTATTATTTTTTTTTTTTGGAGAGGCTTACAGCCGGCTACGATTGCCGTTACAGCCGGAAGAAATAGCCGGTTGCCGGCTATTAACAAGAACCCTGATATACAAAAAAAAACAATGCCTAATCGGTGACCATTGGTCCCCCATGATCCTCTTTTTCCTATGTTAATTGAGAGCTGAGTTGATGAGATAGCCACCTGTCAGTGACCTTCCTGGGTGGTCTAATCCCCTAGCTAAACTGGAACAGATGGGCTATAAGAATGAAGATTCAAGAGTCTAATCTAGGGTTTTGATTCCTTGGTTCATTCTTAAATTTGGCTTTAGATATTTATCTTTAGATGTCCTGTTTCAAGAAGAAAATGGTAGCTATTTTTTAGGCCAAACCTCTTGCAGAACTCCTATTTTCTTACCTACTGTTTTCTTATGTAAAAGTTAAATCAGAGAAAAATGGGCAGAGGAGTGGAATCCTGCATGTCTCCAAAAAAATTCATAAAAATTATAAGAAATACTAACATTACTGAAATTGAGACAATTGAATACTAGAATTTGAAGTCATAAAGATTGATTATGATGGTGTTGTCCAAAGACGGGTTTAGTGACCCTATCATCTTCTCTAGGAATCGTCTCTCCTTATTAAACTATGTTGTAATCCCTGTAATGATGTCAAAGGTCATGGGGCTTATTATGTATGCAAAAATAGCTTATAAACGCATTATCAATAGAACCGACGGATGGATTACTATCAAACTCATGACATATGTATCTTGCAGAGCCAATAAACTGATTAGATTTTAGGGTCATGAGATCAAAGATCAAATGTATATGAAAAATAGCTTGTAATCACACTATTCTGAGAACTTGTTAATAGATTACAATCAATCTTGAATTTTAAAGCTTAAATCTGTTTTGGTTTGTAAAATCGCTCTATGGCAGAGGCAAGATCCATTTATTCTTACCTACTCTTTATAACAGAAGCAGAAGCTTCCAAGCTGTGTGAAGTTCTATGTGAGGGTCTAGATGGCAGCACTTTCAAGATTCAGCTAGCCATCGTCAAGTCCCTTCATATCTTCTTGCAGAGGTGAGTGTTGAAAGTCGTCCATGAAAGCTACTTTCAAGTTCTTGCATCGAAGCTTAATTTGGAAGGGGGAAAAGTCATTGTGATTTTATTAAAGGGGGTGTAGCAAGACGAGACTATGTGTCTTTCCCGTGGTCTGACTCGGGGGCCAGTCGGTTATAATACGACTACGAAACGACGCAACCGCGGTATTCACGTGCGTGTAACATACGCGAAACCGAAGCATGAGGAGAACTTTGGTCTGTTTCGCGAACGCTAGCACGCGCTGACCGTTAATCAAGTCCATTCATTTCCGTGCAGTTGTCCAAAAGAAGTAATAGATGGTGTTAACCAGTATTTGCCATGCTACACCCCCTTTAACAGTTGTCCAGAAAAAAGTTGTAATTTGCCCTGTCTTCTTAAATTGCAGCCAAGAAGTGCTGAAAAATAATGTAAATTGGCTTGTGGATGTCATTCCAAATGAGTAAGACCAAGCAATTACAGGCTGATACCTCTAGCAGAATTATCATTCATTGATTGTTCATTCTGCATTGTTTATTATATAGTGCAGCAATTTGTTTTCCTTCTGCATGGTATTATGGTTGAACTGTTATGAATATAGAATACCGAAGCTCTAACATCATATTCGCTCATCATCCAGGTTATTCGGACAATAGAGCCTGTGCATGAGGTTCATCGCGAGGTGGAGCACTGTGGAGCAGGGCAAATAGTGTTTAGGGCTGGTGTTAGAACTATACGATTGTTTAGCACAAAATTGTTTGGAACCAGCAAACTTGACAACTTGGCCAGTACATGTATGTCACACTTCGGTACTCTATAGAGTCAAATGTACAGTCTGTACAGGGAATAATTTTCCTCAAATTTTTTGATTAGCAATTTCAGGCGATGGATAAATATTTCAAATGAAATTCTGTACATTTCTATGGAAGAAAACTGCTACACAAAAGATATTTTGTATAGCAGTCATGCAAAAATGCATAGCAACTTGCGATGCGATACCAGGAAAATTATTCCCTGCTGTATGAATGTTTGCAGTCCTTTTTTTTTTCTTTGGGGGATCAGGCTGTGAAATCGATCAGAAAAGGTTATCATCTAGCATATAAGTATTTGTGTGTATTGCAAGGTTCTGGAATCATCAAAATGATAAGAAATTTGAAAGTCTTGGTAAAGTTACAAGCACTGTACACAGAAAGATGAATATGGGACTACACAAACATGTGGCGTAAAAATCTGTCCCGATTTTTACGATGTTACATGCCATAGTTAGAATATGAAGGCATTTAAAGAGCCATGCTTTTCAGGGAACATGGTTTATCTGATCCTTCTCTTTAACTAGTATTTTACTGTGAATATTATATGTTTTCTTGGTTATCTAGGATCTATCTGCTGCAGCTGGAAATCCTTACAGAAGATGGACTAGCCCGACTTTCATCCATTCTAGAAACATTTGTACCTGCCATTTACAAGATGTTAGGTATGTATTGTGTAGTTGCACTTCTTTCTTTTTACATGACTTTAAGTGAATTACTAGGAATGGAAATTGAAGTGAACTCTTTCTGTCTCTGTCTCTGTCTCTCTCTCTCTCTCTCTACCCTTCCGCATACATAGCTACATCACTCACTGTCGTGTATTGTGATATGTACAGTTATGTTTTTTTATATAATTTGCATTTGCTTTGTTGAGGTTTTGTTTATATTTATCATACTTCTTGTCTTGCATCATTTTATATGTTTCTTTTTTCATGTATAATTCTAGAATGTCAGGATTTGAATTCAATAACTTACTTGGATTTGAATTTATTTACTTTTGATGTGCAGGTATTGTGAAGTATGCATCCATTAGGAAAGAATCACTGGCTATCCTGGAGTTCCTCATGCCCAAATTGGCAGGTATGTTCCCATTATTTTACTGGTTCAGAGTTTTATATGTTTATTTTATGACTGGATAGGTACTGGGTATTATCATTTCAAAGAAGACATGGATAACACTTGAACAATATCATTAAGATCATATAAGAATTGCCTAGAAATGCTACTTGTCAGAAAGTTCTTGTATTTAGAGTGAGAGATATTTAGATTTGTCATTCACTAGAGCAGCATAACCAGATACGTATACTGACTACTAAGGAAACCCTGTAACAGGAACTACTGTAATATACTTCTGGCTATCCTGTGGCACAAATCCTATTTGTTCTATTTTGCGTTTTGAAGACAGACATTCATTCATGCTTTCATTTTTGGATTTTTAAATGTACACGATTCCTTTGTCATGATGTAATGTGTTCCCTAATATTTTGAAGCGCCTTGAGCATTTAATTAGAATGGAGAATGGCCCTTTATAAAACTCATGTATTATTATCATTATTATTAATAGTCAGGGGTATTTCTTACTTCCCTTGACTCCCTATTTTTCCCCCTCTCTTTTGGTGTAAATTATATAAATAAAAGTATACTGTAGGTCTTGGGACCGATTCAATGTGGAATCAGTCCATGACTTCTGTTTGGAGTCAGAAGGGTGTTAACTCAAACACTCTTAAAGGTACTGTGTCCCTTTTGCAGCCAACCTCACATTCTGTAGAACTTTGCAGGAATTATGAATATGTCATGTATGTCTATCTGTGAAATTTAAACGTTAGCAGTGTCCTCATATTCAAATTATGCATGGAAACCAGTTTACTTGCTAGACTTCACTGTCAGACACTATTGAGTGACTGACTGGCTTTTTTTTTCTTTGGTAATAACATACATGAAAAGAGTTGTAAAGGGTACATGAGCATTTGTCTACATCAATAACCCACTTCTTGCGATGGCCAAGATTAAACTGATTGAATCTTTGCGCAGCATAAAACGTATGACCATTCGGTACAATTGTCTGAAAATCAAAACTATTACTTCTGGGCTCTATAGCCCTAAAGTCGATTTGACAACTAATAGTCATTATTTTCCCACTTGAAGACATTTTCAAACCCCACCTTTTTTAGGGAAGTTCTAAATTAGTATTATCTTTCAAATGCAGTTGGAATTTAACTTTTTCATTTTTTTGGCCTGCAAATGGGACATAGTACCTTTAAAGATAAACTCCAGTACTGGTAAAAAAAATAATAATAATTCTCACAGAATCAAACGAAACTTACACTTAATGTTCAAGATTACAAATAAATGACATGTGCCAAACAATTTTGGAAGAAAATGTATACTGGCTGAGTAATGAGCATAGAAAGACAAGGAAATCAAGGTAGTACTAGCCCCGACACCATGTGTGTTGTCCCATATATAGCTTTCTATGTGAGTGCTTGTTACTTTACCAAGACTCTGTCAAATTGATTATGATTTTGATGACTCCGGAACTTTGCAGTGCACACCAATACTTGCATGCTACATGATCAACTGTTTCTGATCCTTTCCACACCTTTTCTTTCACAATGCAATCGCATTACCAGTACTAAAGTTTATCTTTAAGACAAAGTGAATACCTTCTAGCCCTGAACAGACTATGTAATGAAGGTATGCAATCTAGTTTATGTCGTAATGCTATTCACATTGTTTTTTGCGATTCCCAGAATCCACTCGACTATCAGTACTAACTTCCCAGCAGTCCAAGCAACTCCAGGAAGGTCTGTCAAAGGTCACATCCGACGCAGACCCAGCAGTCCGAGAGAGGGCAGCAAACCTCAAGAAACTCATCAAGGAGAACTTTGTCTTTGAAGAGGAGGAGGAGGAGGAGGAGGAGGAGGATGATGATGAGGGAGAGAGTGGAGAAGAAGGAGGGGAGGATGATGGGATGACCGCTGAGTGAGAGTTGCTCAAGATTTCTTCTCGAGGATGGAAAGCGCTGTACCACTGACAAGAAAATGGATGATCAGCGGATGCAGAATGTGAGATGGGAGAACGTGAAGTGATGCAAAGTACCTCCAGATGATAGGCAAGTGTGGAAGTCTAGACAGGGGTTTGAACTTGAGTTCAACTTTCAGGTTAGACTTTTAAGTGGAGGCAGAGAGAATGCAAAGGAGGCAAAGAAGTTGCCAGGTACGGAAACTTCTGACATGAAAGATGCGATAGGAGGTAAAGGTTGATTAATCTTTACAAGAGATAGAAGGATTAGAGAGTGGATGGGGAAGGCAGAAGCAGAGGGAACAAAAGAGAAATGGCCGAGAGAAAAGATAGAGAAAGGCCCTTCACAAACGAGAGAGAGAGGGACAAAAATAGCTATGAGAAAGAAAACTATCGTCGGGCCAAATTGGGGTAGTATGTTGAGTGAAGTATATGATGTTGCCAATAATGGCATTATTTTAAGAACAAGCAAAACCTTAGTGGTCTCCTTAGCTATTTCAAATATTTGGTTTGGAATGTTCTTGTTATATTATTTATCTTATTCAAGTATTTACCATCTTGAAAGTCTGTATCAAAATATCTAATATTACTTCTAAGAGAAATCCAAATGGTGAAATGTTTATTTTAGTTTAAATGCCCCAAATCAGTAATAATAATAATAATATTGGATTCTTATATAGCGCACGTATCGACCTTGCAAGGTCCTCAAGGCGCTCCAACATTACCCGGCTATGCTAGGCTGCCGATTTCGACGCTCACAGCATTTTAAGGAATTCCTTCCTACTGGTACCCATTTAACACCTGGGTGGAGAGTGGCAAATGTAGATCAATGTCTTGCCAAAGGACATTAGTGCCATCAGTAGTTATTCATGATCACCACCAAAGCCAATTATACACATAGATTGGCCACCTTGGTCGCAGTTGGACCATTCTTTGTTGTGTGCTTATGTAACAGAGCACCTAGCACCTTATGGTGTCAACCTACAGCAAACTATGTTTAACATGTCTGTGATCTCTGATAAGCATCAAAGTCTTACAAAGATACCCTCTGATGAAAGAACGTCATTATTATAGGAGGGAAATTGAGCATGGAAGAGTAGGGCTTTTACTAAATGGTCGGGTAAGTGTATTGTTAGCGCCAGATTTTGCGTAAGATGTCTTCAGGTGTGTTTTTGGGGGGGCAAAACTTGAAAATGTGTCATCTCTGGGTAAATTTTCAAATATTATGGTTTTAGTTTAATATTCAGGTTGAGATTCGAAGCATGAAGTCGCCTTCAAACACGAAGGTAAACATTTGCGTTTTTTGTTTTTAACATGCAATGAATGGCAACTCACTGTGAACATGACGGACAAAGAAAGAGGACAAAATATACAGTTCCTCATTCTGTCCTCAACAATTGCTGTGGTAGACAAAGGAACATCCCTTCACTGCTATTATGTACAAATGTGTAGAACAGGTGTCACATGCATATTCACCTGTTCTACACATTTTTACATAATAGAAGGGATGTTCCTTTGTCTACCACAGCAATTGTTGAGGATAGAATGAGGAACTGTATATTTTGTCCGCTTTCTTTGTCCGTCATGTTCATAGTGACTGCCTGCATGGAAGAAATCAATAACAAAAAACTGCTGCAGTTCACCGCATCATAACTAGGCTTGAGAACGGAAAAGTAAAGGCAAGAGTTGTTGATTTATACCTCACATATAATTTTAGGAACAGAATAGACCCCAATTTTTGTGATGTAACCAAATTTAATGCATACATCTTTGTGTCCTATTAAGAAAACGAGTATCTAAATACTGTAGTCAGAATGGCTTGCCCTACAACAAGTAATTACATGATGACAATGGTCTAGTAAAATAAATTCAAAATTCATATTGGCCTAGATTCTAGGACAATTACCCCTAGGAAATATTTGGAATGGGCAATTTTGGTGTTAAATGAAGATGTGGGGGGGGGGGCACTGAGCCCTAATCTCCTGGGAGAGGCTGTTCTGATTAATTTGTCAAGGGCAGCCTCAAGCTCTCCCATGTTAAGAAGGACAGAGGCAGTGCTACTTGTGGCTCAGTACACCCCACATTTTCATGTACCCTCAAAAATGTGAAAATGTGGAGGGCACTCATTCTAGAATCAAGGCCTACATGAATTTGGTGTGAGGTGTAAATTGATAACTTTTAGACTTCAAACCAGTTGAGGAACAGAAACCCTGAAATGTAGGAAATTTACCTGGAGATGTTTTACAAGTTTTGCCCTGAAATAACCCACTCGAAGACACCATACACAACATTTGTCGCCAATTTCATGTACCTCCCGACTGCTTATTAGAAAATGAATGTAGTTTGCTGCAAGTTTGACATAATAGGATGGGGGATGTTAAGCACACAAAAAAGAATGCGATCACAGTACTGATAAGGAGTATATGTATATACGATATGTTGAATTTATTAAAAATCTCCTCCTCAAATCTAGTACGGTCTGTTAAATTCATGTTGCATTAACCTCCAATCAGTTCCATGGTATCCAACGTGCTATTTCAGGGCAAACTTGAGATATCTCCCTTTCAAGATAACTTCCCAATAGGGACTTATAGATTTGCGTGGACTGATACGTGTGACGTCCATTTAAGGCAATGCATTACAAGGACATTGATCGTAGCATAGACCTATTGTCTTCGTGCGAATCTAAAAGTCCCTAATGTCGGGGTCTCCGTTCCTCAAGTACAAATTTCAAGCATGAGAATGAAGACTAAAACTTGAAAAGTTGTTAATTTACATCTCACACAAAGTTCTAAAACAGTTATTGTTCTTCTGGCACTGAACAGGACGGACAAAATATACAGTTCCTTATTCTACCCTCAACAATTGCTGTGGTAGACCAAGGAACATCCCTTCACTGCTGTATGTAAACATGTGTACAACAGGTGAATATGCATGTGACACCTGTTCTACACATTTGTACACAATAGCAGTGAAGGATGTTCCTTTGTCTACCACAGCAATTGTTGAGGTTAGAATAAGGAACTGTATATTTTGTCCTCTTTCTTTGTCCATCATATTCACAGTGTGGGCTTCATACTTTCAAATTAATTCATGTAGGCCTAGATTATACCACAACTTCCCCCTAACAAATTAGCCTTGGGTATCCCTAGAACAGCCTCCCCAACAAGGGGCACTTGGAATTGTGAAGGGCAGAGGCAATGCCATGTTTCATTTATCCTCAAAAAGTGTTAAAATAGCCTTTTCTTCATAGAAGGTGTCCTTCTTAAATTGCGGACCAATGTCCCAAGGCTGATTATCAGGGGGTAGTTGTCGGAGAATTCAGAATTTATTTGAAAATGTGGAGCCTGTGAGAACAATAGATTTGAGAAACAAACAACCTACCAATTTTTAAACTTCATTCTCTTGTTCTTGTGCTTCAAAACTGTACTTGAGTAACTCATACCTTGAAATGGACATGTTTTCAATTTTTCCTCTGAAATAACACACCTGTAGACACCATACAAAAACAAAAATTATGTTTAATTTGGACAACACAAACTTACCTGACCGTTGGGTGCAAACAAAATAGATGCAATTCAAAATCTAGATGCAATTCAAAATCTAGATATTAAACCTGAAATAATGGAACTAAATTCTTCTAAAGCATTAAATCACAAAGGTGTATATTTGACGTTTCCTCTGAGCACTACATCAATTATTTTATATAACCCTTTGACTTTTTGTTAGTGCCTAATTCATGAAGATTATATTTCATGTATGTTATCCAATAAATATATTGAAATCATTTTCAATAAAATTTTACTGACATTGCATTTTATAGTCTGTGTCTTTTCTTTGTGTTCTTCCTATCGTGTAACTAATAATTACCATATTAAAAGAAGACAGGGATTAATTACATTCAGGAATAATATAGTCTTGGTCGTTATACCCTAAAATAAGTGCACAATTGTGTTAACATAACATTCTATAACATTGGAAAACTTTAAAGGTAAAGTTTCCTTCATAAAATGGGTTAAACCTTTAAAAATTTGCAGTCCACTTTTTATTACTGATATGTATAAATCGTTTTTTTTAATTCAACGCACATTATTAATGCAGAACTAAATCATTTCCATTTTTGAGCCATTATAAATATACTAACTACAAAATAGCAGGCTTCGCAATTGGGGCATGAAATTATCAATAATATCCAAGCAACAGCAAATTAATCAACATTTGTTTAATGATATATCTGGCAAGGACACAACATGATATATAAGGGTATGGGGTAACTAGAGCATGCAAAATGAATACTACAGTGCCGGAAAGAAAATTTAGGACACAATATAGATAGATTTCTTTCCTGAACCCCAGGGCCCATATTCATGAAAGCTTACCAAGCTAGTTGTTAACTTCAGTTCAATTTAATGAGATTAGAGACAATAATAGCCCTCTAAAGATGGACAATCGTACAGTCTAACGAATGTGAAATTTGTCGTAAACAAGAAACTATTGAGCATTTTATATGTCCTTGCAAGATATTTTTAAAACAGAAATTGAAATCGATTTGAAAATGTCATTGATTGGATATGAAATAAATTACAGATAAATATGCACAACTTGTTTTATACAAAGATTGAAATCTTATTTGAAATACAAAAAAAATATAAAATACTTAGATAATGAAGAAGTTAAGAAAATGATAGAAATGTTATAATGATCCTTTTAAGAAATTATGTTGATCTTGTATATTATTCATATATTTCGTTTTACTCGTTTTGTAAAAAGTCTATACGTATTTTGAAACGAAATAATAAAGTCCCTCTGAAGAGGTAAAGAAGAAAATATAAACTTTGCTAAGAATATGGGCCCTGGTTTCTAACTATTCATCACCTACTATAATTGTGACTTGCTATGGCAAAACCCAACAGTTAATGGTAAATATGAAAATTGAGTTCTCGGTTATCACTGGAAAGAGTAAGAAATAAATTTTAATATGGTACCTCATTCAAAGGGATTGATTGAAATTTGACGTACTTACTGCTATTTTTGTGACTTCAATAGTAATTTTGAGAGTTTAAAAGTTAAGCATTCGGTTCCATTTTCACACCTAACAACATTGATATGAATGGACATATATATCTCACCATGAATCTAAGTATCAGGTACAGATTCAACTTTTTTAAATTCTAGTAAAAAATTTGGTGAATGTTATGACGGGAAAGTCGAATGGACGTGTATTTTGTTAAAAGACAAAGTTGAGATTTGGGCCTTGTTTCACAAAACTTCTTATCGATAATAAATGCTGAAATTCAATGACAAATTTGCTCTTAGCCAATCAAATGCCAGGATTTCAGTAGTTTTATAACAGCTATCGTAATTTGTTATTGATACAAGTTTTATGAAACAGGGCCCTGGTCACGTGATTGCATCTGGTAAGAGACTGTCTGGAAGCGATAAGAAAAATAAGGTTGATATATTGAGAGGTTTTGGAAAGATATAATTTTTTAGGAACTACACAAACTTGTGGCATGAAAGTTTGGTCCAAAATTCCCTTTAAGCTATTTCTTGTCATATATAAAGGAGTATATTTGAAGAGTGCATCCTTTTCAGAGGACAGAGGACAATATTCTTCCACAGTAACATAAAATCATAAAAAGAATGAAATTGTATTTATTTTCCCAGACCCCAACGCTTCTTTAACTCAAAACCACGTAAGGTAGCTTTCTAGATATCTAT